TTTTCGGAGGTTTTCTTCCTCGCGGTCCCTACGCTCCGGAGAAGATAGCGGCCTTCGACCCAGCACCACATACGGGGTTACGAGATTTTAGCCACGCCGGCTGAAGCCGGTACCCCCATCTGCCTCCCGGGTGACGCACCCGATGGCAGTCACTGGACTGCATACGGGAAAAGTCGAAACCTGCCATGTTCTGTCCATTTCTTTATTTCATCCTGTTTCGAGTGCGTGCAGTTTCATTTAATTTTATTAGATATCCGTGTGTAAATTGTGATGGAGCTGTGTGGAAAATGAAAATTTGTGCAGGGAGGAAATGACGATATAATTGTGGAAAAACTAACCGCAAAACCTTAGGAGATTCACCCAAAAGCGAAGCTCAGTTTTGTCTTGATGTTTTATTTATATGTAGATATATCTAATTGAGTACATAAAATACATATATACCAGAAACAGAATATGTTTGTATGTTACAGAAATACATTAAATAAATAAATAAAATGAATGGATTTATTTCAGGCATCATACATAACTCACAGATATACCTTACATAATAACATATCTATTTTAATAAAGAGCAGTTTGTTTTCTGTGCACTATTTATACGAGTGCTACATACACCGGAGTCGCAACACAAAGGCTTTAAAAACCAACAGAAAGTGCTGCGACTCCAGCTGCTCCACTGTCTTCCATTGCTGTTTTCTTTTCAACCGACTTTAAAAAAATTGTTCTCTATTCGACTGTATTTTATTTACAATGTGATATAATGTAAATTGTAGTACTCATGCTACAGGGACTGATGTGATCCTATCTTATTATATAAATGCTTCGTCTGCATTTATGTTTTATATTAAACATCTATGGCGACAGGTCTGTGAACAGCTGCTGTATGTGCTCGAATTTAGCATTGAACATTGCCACTTAGCTCAATGCTAAATTCGAGCAAATATAACCTTGAGCAGTGCTTCCGCTGGTCATTCAGAGAGACTACATACAGCGGGTAAAGATTGTGGTTTAATCGATCCCAAGGTTCCAATATTTTTTTAAACATCTATTGAAGGTTAAGCTAAGCTTGGATGTTGATTCAAGACGATGTTCTACCTGTATTACTCAACTAACAATGTTATTTAGTATATTTCAATGGAATTTGTACGAATTTTTTCTTCTACGACTATTACTCGATAAATTGTATAAACAACGATATTGAATACCCTAGATACACCACGTACGCTCAAAGTGTCCCAATCAAGAAGTGCTTGAACACCACTCAAGCACTACTTGGTCCACAGTCACGCGCGGCGAGGACCGTTAAAAAGTCAAGTTGCCGCAGAGCTCCGTGAAAAATGCGATAAATACTTATAGTATGTAAAGTGCCGTTTTTTCGACGGGTATTTAATCAATGTTTGTTAATTTAATGCATTTGAAGCAAATTTTGTTCTAATACTATAAACTGATTTAATAGAAAATATTTCTGGTATTTAAATGCATGGTTGGTAATATAGCTGTCTCTTTATCTCGTAGTCCGTAACTGCTATTATGTGCTCTCTTTAAGAGACAAAGAAGCTGCTTTAGGATCTTGCGTTATCTACAGTAACTTTGAAGTATAATGGTAGCTTTACTTACAGTTTTATCTTCTCACTTACCAGGGGTGCTCACGGGGGCGCTATCTACTTTGAGATAATCTTTGAATAAGTATTTGAATATGTATAAGAAGTATAAGAATAAGTATACTTACTCAGAGGAGATAAAGCGTTGTTTGACATCCGTTCAACTTCATACCGTTTTTTTGATTTTGCGGAGTAACTGTCACTAAAAGTAAAAAAGTTTATTTAGTGAATTCAAAGTGTGTTATTGTGGTGTTATTAAAGTTTTTCAGTGCTGTAAAATTCGTAGGAAGTGAACATTTGAAGGGTTTATACATAAATCTTAGTAGTGTGTGTTGTGAAATACGAGATGAGCACATCGGATCAGGTGAGTCGTACCCAGAGGTTTCGCTACCCCACCTCCAAATAAACGTTATCGGAAAAAATATGAACGACAGCTTTAATCAGTCAGGTTTCATCTATATCCAACTACCTTACACATTTCAAATATAATCTAAATACCATAACACATTCGCCGAAAATATTTTCTAAAAACATTTATCCGTCAGCCACAAAAGCACCCTTTTTGAGTGTTCCACCAACGCAATGTACCTTTAACCTTTGTATAAGTGAAACATACATGTGAGTTTCGTTACTATTAGCACTAAGGTTAGCACTCTCCGGCAGATAAGGACCGTCTTAGCTAATTAGAAGAACTACAGCTATTTGATACTCCAGCGTGGAAGGGAATTAGATTTAAGAAAGCTTTACAGTCTTGTGCTGCTAGCCGTGGGTTTGTGGGGCTGAAAATTAGTGATGAACTTTGTCATTTCAATAAACAAAAAGATTATCTCTATTCTACTGAAAACTTATTAGCTGGTGCTGCTGCTATCTAATATAGTGTTGGAACAAAGAGATTTGCTGAAGGTCAATTTACAGGATGTTGTGAATTGGGCTACTGCCAATCCCAATGATCTCAATACTTTATACTATATACTTTAGTAGAAAAACTAACAGGTGCCTTTGGTCGTGACTCGGAGTCCAAAAAAAATTGGGAAAAAATAATGCAGGTAATTTGTGGAAAAAGGGCCCAGCCCTTTTACCGTATTTGTATAGAATACCGGCGTGATAGAATTCTTAAAGAGGTAATAATACAAATTTAAAGACAACTTTACAAGAAATTCCACCTAGATCTGAATATTGATTTAGCCGCACTAAATTACTACCTATTATACAATCACTTGGAGGGACACAGGTTTGGTTGAATACACCTAATTATTTGAAAGAAAACAGACCGTCAACTTCGTTTCAGTTGGACAACTTTCATGTTATAAACAAAGAATATAAAGACGGAAACAAATTTAATCATACACAGAGATCTAACAGACCTGAAATTAAAAAGCACCAGTCCTTTCGAAAGCGCAATAATACAACAGAGCACAATCACACCCCAAAACCTCAAAAATGACTTTCAAAGGGGGTTGTTTGTAACACCATTTTCAGACATGGAAAATATTAGGAGCATACAAATTGATTCAGAATAATATAAGAGGTGCCTGTATACCATTCAAAAACAAAACCCCTTTGCAATACCCATACAAACACATTTTACGATACTTTGCGACCAAGGAGTCAGATCAGATGTCATTTGTAATCAGGGATCTAATTCAAAAGCAAGTTCTAGAGAGACCCTCAGTAAAAAAATCAGGTTATTTTTCAAAGGTGTTTCTGATTCGCAAACCAAATGGGGGAATACGTCCCATATTCGACTTGAGGAGTCTCGATCATTATGTAGCAACAAGACATTTTCTTTTACTTCTTGAATACCAAGAAGTCTTATGATGACCTGTCTCGACCTTTTTTTATTTTTGTAGGTAATCTTCCTCTTTTTCTTTTCCGGTACTACTTCCTGAGCTTCAGCTACAGCTTTTCTATATAAATACATGCACTGATGTAACTTTGTAATCTTATAATATATTTATATGAGATTACAAAGTTATGTATGCAGATAGTACATCTAAAAACTGGGCCGAAACTGCAAATATTTTAGTTTTTTCTTGATTTATATACTAAACACTAACTGTAGTTCTAAATTTGAAGCTTCTCTGTCTAGAAGTGCCTTAGAGTTTTGGTGATCGGCCAGTCAGTCAGTGAGTGACAAAATTAAGAAACTTTGACTAGATATAATTCTGAAAGTACTGACACATTTGAAATATACCGAGTTTATACAATGTCTACTTGGTTACTGAAAATTCAAGTTTTATCGCCAACGAAGTTTTAGGGGGTTGAAAATGGCCTGAACTGTTCGGAGAAAACTTTCTCGACTTTTGGACAGATAAGTCGTAAAATTTTACGAGCTTGCATTTCGAACTGTCATAACTCTTCGACGCATGTGTTTTAATTAAGACTTTTTACAGTATGCATTAAAGGTGACTTCCAATGTTTAAATAATACCTTATATTCTTTATGACAACGCAACCATCTTACGGAGCTCCGTGGATCGTCCAATGTACCTTTTGGACAGATTTCGGGCACGATTTTGTTCGTGTTGGTGTATCTAGAGTATTTAATATCGTTGTTTATATTTCTCTCAATGGAACCCTAAATCGAAAAATTATTGTAGCAAACTCTTAATATCAATATTTTTAAAGACCTATCTACACCTATCCAACTTCCCCTGTTCTTGGAGGGGCGCTGGTGCCCTAATATAAAGTATTTTTAAAGATTTAATTTTTTCATCTTACCGATGTGACAGTATCCATGTCTATTTATCGATGCTGAATAACAAGGACTTTAGGTAAGCTATGGAGAGACGGAAGTCCAGATATTGCGATATTTCATTGCATGATGTTGTATTTTTGAATTCGGTACCCTAAAACGAAATAAGCTTTCAACGCCAATATGAACCTCATAAAAGATAGAAACTTTTTTATAGATAAAATTGTCGAAATGCTTCTTTTAGTTCACTTACGTATGTGCAATATTTTATACTTCTGGACACGCAGGTATCTATTGTGCGTCGATCCGTATGCAATTTTTTTGTAGGATCTATTAACAAAGGATCTAGGATTTCTTGTGAATAAGATTCTATAATGTAATATTCAGTTTTTTCTTCAGTAAAGCCAAAGACAAATGGCAACGCAATCGAATCATGCGTTTGAAATAGTATTTTTAATAGTTAAATAAGGTACCCCTAGCAGGAACCAATATCAAATTCGTATCGTTTGCGAGTCCGAAATGTCATTGTAAAATGTGTACTGATTTTCAGTTCTCGTTACGTACTTTGTGCCGCTGCGGTTCAAGTTTCTATACAAAATTTGACATTTCGGTTTGCAAACTATTCGAATTCGATAATGGTTCGTGTGCTAGGGGTACAGATCTAATGGATGTGAATATTAGGAAATAAAACAGGTCGTAATAATTATTAATATCATCATTATTTGTTTAACCTATAATATAATCAGTAATTTACATAGTAATATGATGATTTCGAATATTTATATTATGAATATCACAAAATTTGAAGGAGGCGACGACAATTCCACGTTAATAAAAAAGAATATATTAAAAAAGTAAAACTAGAGCAGGGCGCGACGAGCGCAAGCGAGGGGCGCTTACTAGCGCGGCGCTCGCGGCGCCCTCGCCCGGCGGTCCTCCGGCGGCGCGCACAGATGAGTGAGTGAGTAGAAGGAGCCGACACCGCCCGGCGCCGGCGGAGGAGCGGGGCGCGAGACTAGCGGGCTTAGCGCTGGAACAGCGGGTTCGGGAAGTCGGGCGGGTGCGGGAGCGGAGCAGGAGGCGGTCGCGCTCGTCGCCAGGCCACCAGCCAGCAGGCCACAGCCGCCGCTACCGCCACCAGTGCGAGCAATGCCGTCAGCGCCAGTGCTACAGCGAGGCCGGCGGCTGACACGCACACTTCACCTCCATTAGCTGCACCGCCCGCACCTGCGCCGCCCTCGCGCTGCCGGGCTGCTCTCGACGCGGAACGTCGTTCGAGAGTCAAGATCTGGTTTGACTCCACCGTCACCTCCTCGCGCAACTGACCCTCGATGCCCGTCAGAGAGCCATCGCTGTCAATCGCTTCTCGTTTTCTTCGTTTTCCGTAAGCGTCTCTTCCTCGACAGTTAACCTATGAATTAATTATATATCATTATTGCAGCTTGATTACTAGGTCAATGAGTTCGCGAGTAAGTATGTCTCTATAAGTAGTATATGGAGGAGTAGGAGTAGTAAGAGGAGTAAATGCGAACCTGCAGGTTCGTGAACTTTGAAAGGTGACTGAGTTTTATGCACAGTTTCTTCTCAGCATTGGCCCATTTATTATCCCGAAGCTGTGGTAGGAATAAAGTAATACTGAGACGTGTAAAAGTGCTTTGTATAAGACTTTAGTGACTTTAAGCTTGGTTATCATCACTAAGCGTATACCAGTGTTCGAGATATAAAATCAGAGCTTAGACAGGTAACAAAGTGTTACTTTAAACTTTTAAAATAAGGCAAAACTAACCCAAAATTAATTAACTTTATTTTCAAAAAAAAAAAACAAAACGGGCATTGTTGATATAACTTACCGGTTGACATTTTCCGAAGCAAATACGTATATTACATTGGAATCGGATATTGTCACTGCTAGGGAACTTGAAAGCGTTGAACATGACGCGCAGTGTGCCGTCGTCGTTCTGTTCCCATTCGCCGAAGATGGACGGGTCTGTAGCACACCCGTCCGCGTCTGTCACTGTGTATTCATTCTCTACGTTTGTTCCCACTTCGCTGGTCTTCGCGATGCAACTTCTAGCGAATCCACCATAAATGCCTGAAAAAGGTAGGAATGTTTTAAGCATATATTTATGCAAATACTATATTGTTCTTTTCTTTCTTTCTTCTCAAAAATATAAAAATATGTAATACTAACTACTTGGCTTGACGTCGACTTGAAGGCTGAGGTTTTCTCCGACTGTAGCAGAACTGACTTCAGCACCGGTTCGTGTTACAATCCTCATGGAACAAATCGGCGGAGGTCCGGTGTTAGCTATTGTGCCAGCCGTTGTCAACATTGATACGTTGAAAGCTAATGTTACGTTCTTCTCGCCGGTCTTATAGATACAATGTATATGGAATGCCTTGGCATTAGATGTAACGAGTTTAAGATGATCTTGCATTACTAGTACAAAACTCGCCAAACCCTACGGTAAAAAAATGTTAAAATAAAGAATTACCATTTTAGTTTGGAAAACAAATTATTTAGTAAGCAAAAAATTAATTTATTCTAAGGTTCCTTGTTAAACGTACATTAACATGCACCAGACCGCAGTTTCCGAATTGCACAGTAAAGTCTACAGGACTTTCTTGGTTCGCAGGAGCGTTGACTACTAGTCCACATCGTTCATCTTTACTGTAACCTTTTACATATAGTAGTCCATTAAATCCATCCTTGATCTTAAGGCTTACTCGGATCCCATTGGCAAGACATTGAACCTAGAAAAAAAATATTAACAACATATGAAACAAATTCTTCATTATGTAACGTTTTGAAGAATTTATTATACAGTCGCCTGTGCGTTGTGATATGTGAAATCTAACGGCCGTACTCAGACTCGTAAATAAACTTTTAAGCTTGATTAAAATATTGCTGTCATTTATACAATAAGTAACAATAGAGTAAGGCAACACAAGACTGAAACCGACATGTGACATCTCTGTGTTCGTCTGCAAGTGTTCAGAGGCTTACCTGCATTTCAGGTAGAGGGAAGTCGGTGCGATAATTGGTGATATTTTTAACAGTTTCGTTGCACTGGACACGTGGGTTGCCCGAGTAGCCGGAGATACAATTGCATATTGAGCGGTGGCCAGTGGCCTCACAAATAGCGAATTTGCCGCAAGGCTCGGCTTCACATGCGTCCACACACATTCGGTTAAGACAGCGTTCACGATCGCCGCACTCACTATCGTTGTCGCAGATTACTCGGACACAAACGTTACCACGTGGTGCCCAACCTCGTTCTGTATCGCAAACACAGCGACCACGTGAATCTACTGTCCTGCCTTCATCGGTACGACATGGCGCACATTCGCCTATTGGATTAAGGCCTTGTCCATCGACACATTTGGCTGTTGTTGCTGAAAAATAAATCTTATTTTAACATTTATCCGGACCTAAAATATTGTAAGAGTGGGCACATTGTCCCCCTTATTAATAAACGAAGACTAAGTTTGGATTAGTTACTCTACGTTTTGTCTATGTTCATTGAATTACAAATGGCACTTGAGTGATATGAACAAAACACGGCGCAACTAGTCGAAGCTTATTCCTCATTTATTAATAAGGGGGTTTATGTATAATGCCGGATTAATAACTTTCATTTTGGTAAAAATTATACAGTAAGTATTTATTTCTTTAAAAGCTATCATGGTTGCTGTTCAAGTAAATCTGTTTGTATCGCTGTTGGTTTCTCAAAAATAAATAAATAAATAAAATAAATAAAGATAAGTTAAAAAAAAAAAAAAAAGTACGGACGCGTAATTTAGAGAAAAAATAGAAATAAAAACTGTTGTAACTAATAGATTTTTTTTTCGATATTTATAACTAAGAAACTTTCCTAAGTCATAAAGTATTATACTTACGTATGTTAGGTGTGCATTCCACTAGAGCGTTTCCTCGGTATCCAGGTATGCATTCGCAAATCATTGTACGAACGGGCTCCGTGTCAACAATTTTACATTCAGCGTTTGTACCGCAGGGTTTCATTACTGTGCAAGGATTAGCGCACTTTGCATTCAAACAAGCAGTTCCAGAAGGACACTCCCTATCTGATGTACATTCTGGTTGGTTCACTTTTTCGCATCCGGTTTCAGTGCTATGGAAGCCCGGCGGGCACACGCAGTGGACTTCATGGAGGTGCACGCGACATTCCGCTGGTTCTTTACAAGTGGAATTTGTGCATGGATTCTGACATTTAGAGTTGATACATGATTTTTCTAGCGGGCAGTCACTATTGGCGCGGCAGCCTATAGGTACACAGCCGATTGATGGATTTCCAGTGGTACCGATTTCACATCGACAGGCTGCTCTGTGTTCTATACCATAGCATTCAGCTGAGGTGCCACATATATTTGGTTCAACAGAGCAGGCTGGCACGCAACGATTATTGATGCAAGATTCATCCTCTGAACATTGGAAATCAGATCTACACAGGACTTTATAACAGCCCGTTCGAGCGTCACCGATGAATCCAGGCTGGCACGCGCATACGGGTTTGTGGTCTTTTATCACGCAATCCGAATTAGGACCGCAATTACAAGGGTTTTTACATAAAGAAGTTATACATGCATGATTATTTGTGCAATCATTGTCGATTTCACAAGAAATGTCTGATACTGGGGTAGAAGGTTTGCAAATACCTCCGCCACTACTTACATATCCAGGAGGACAAGTACAGAGCATAGTGCGAACTGGTAATGTGGGTGATACATCACAACGTGCTGGTACTGAACATGGCCGTAAAGCCGTGCACGGATTTATACATTTAGAATTGAGGCAAGCAGATCTCGATGGACAATCAGCGTCCTCTATACATTCCGCCGTAATTTCCGGTTTACATTCTACATATGGGCTACCGGTATAGCCATCTTCACATTTGCAGACTGCGTTATGATTTCTAACCAAACATAGGGCATTTATTCCGCACATGTGACCAGATAGACATGGGTTGATACATCTATGGGCATGGCATTGTTTATCTAACGGACAGTCCCCATTTGTTCTACATTCTATAGCATTACATCCAACAAACGCGTCACCTTCAAACCCGGGTCGGCAGCGACATAGTGGGCGATTTCTTTCTACAAAACAATCAGAATTTGGTCCGCAAGTGTTGTTTAACAAGCATGGACTGACACAGTTTCCATTAATACATGCATCCTTTGATTCGCATTCAGAGTCTGTACGGCAACCCACAATACGGCAAGCGCGGTAAGGATCTCCATCAAAACCTTCTCGACAGGAGCAGACTGGACGATGATCACGAACGAAGCACTCTGCATTTTCTCCACAGTTGCAGGGATTACGACAAATTCTATTAACACAAGATTCTTGATCACTGCAGTCTTGGTCTGAAGAACAACTAGGGGTAGGCAGTTGTGCTGTTCTGCAAGAGCCTCCTTCTTCCGGTATGTATCCTTCTGGACAGCGACATACTAAGGTACGGAATGGAACGCTGTCCGATACGGAACAACGCGATATTCCAGTACATGGTTTAAGTTCCGAACAAGCCTCGCGACATTCATCTCGTAAACAGGCATGCCCACTTGGGCAATCACTATCGAATCGGCATTCAGGTTCACCGATTACTGATACTTTAAGGCAATGGGTCAACGGATCTCCAAGAGGAAGTGCTGATGGGCACTTGCAGGATGCAGCATGGTTTCTTGCGTAACATTCAGCGTTATTTGCACATGGATTTAGTCCTTCTGCAGAACAAGCGTTGCGACAAATGCCTTTAACGCAAACGCTGTCGTCATTACAATCATTGTTTATTTCACATTCTGCGGTTTGACACCTTGTGTATGGATCTCCGATACTTCCAGCTGGGCAGCGGCAGTTAGGACGATGACCTTTACCGTAACACTCGGCGCTGATTGCACAGGGTGCTTCTAATATACAAGGGTTCACGCATGCACCGTTATAACATGTAGTGCTATCAGAGCATTCGTTATCCGAAGTACAGCCAACTGTAAAGTAATATAAGTAATTTTTAATAATTTATTATATAAAAACGTCACTAATTCTACTTCAAAGCAGAAGGACAGCATAGATAACTCGGTGATTTAATAAAGATTTTAAAAAGTTGTTGTAATTATATTTTGAGTTAAATTACAAAGTTGTGATGTGAAATAGTATTTTATAATAATTGGTTTGGGAATTTAATTTCGTGGTGCCACTTTTTACTTATTTAGTAGATAAAAATTGTCATTAATGATTTTTTTCTTATTAACCTTTACTACATCCTGTGTAAGGGTTGCCTGAGAAACCACGTTCACAGTAACAAACAGGATGATGTCTAACTACGGTGCACTCAGCATTTGGTCCACAGGCGCACGGGTTGGCACATCCACCGTTAATACATGCTTGTGATAATGGACATTCAGAATTTGCTTTGCATCCCACGGTGACTGACTTATCTGAAGCTGTAAGAAAATTAATTGATTAGTATTTAATATGTGAAATTCCGAATCGAAGTATATGTATAGACGGATTACATTCGGACGTCAAAGATACATCCACTCGAGGCACTTAGCGTTCGTATGTATCCGTATTAATTACTACAACTTACGTGGTACACATTGAACAGTAGCTACGCCTGTATATCCTTTCGGACAAGTGCAGACAGGCTTATGATCGATGATACGGCATAATGCACCTGGACCGCATGCGTTTGTGCAAGGATTGACACAGAATCGGTTGCGGCAAGCTCTTTCCGCATTACATTCATCATCAGTAAAACATTCTGGGGATACTTGTTTTGGTTCGACGTTACATTCAATTCTTGGATTTCCTGTATATCCTGTAGCACATGTACAGTGTGATGAGTGGTCAATAGCTTCGCAAAGTGCATTCTGTCCGCAAGGATCTGCTTTGCATGCATCTACACAGCTTCCACGACGGCACATTTGACTCAATGCACAGTCTGTATCCGCAGAGCATTCTGCCTCAGGTGGAGATCTACATCCATTGTCTGGAGCAACTCGGCCACCATCTGGGCACACACATGCGACGGCTCGAAGAGGCAGCAAGTCTACAGTTCTACATAAGAGTCCGACTTCGCATGGATTACTTAGACATAGATCGGTACATTGAACGTTAACGCACGCAAGTGGGGCTGCGCAATCTGAATCTCTTGAACACTGGAAGGCAATTTCCTTGGTACAACCACGAACATAAGGATCACCAGAGACACCAGATGGACACGTGCAAATTGGTCTATGGCTGCGAGCTGTACAAGTAGCTCCTGGTGCACATGCGTTATCAGAGCAAGCTGGCTGACAGACTCGATTGAGGCGGTTGCAGGTCTGTGTTTCATCGCAGTCTTCGTTGTAATGACAGACAGCGGATATACAAGCTCTACGCGGGTCTCCTTGTGTGCCGGGTGGGCAGCGACATGTAGCCACGTGTGCAACAACTTCGCACAAAGCATCGCGACCACATGGTGACCCCAGTAAGCATGGATCTTGGCAGTACCCTTTAACACAATTCTTGTCAAACGGACAGTTGTCATCTGTTGAACATTCAGCTGCAAGAAAAGGTGATTATATTAGCTATGTAATCAAACAATTTTGATATTTTTACAAACGAACTTACTAAATAATAAGAAAACTTACGTGTGTAACAAGCTCGTGATGGGTCGCCAGCAGTGCCTGGTGGGCAACGGCAGCTAGCGCGATGGTTGATCGGAGAACATAGTGCATTAGCCCCGCAAGCACCGGCGCACGCCGATATGCAGTGGCCGGATATACAGGCCTCCGCAGCGCCGCAGACATCGTCAGATATGCACTCTGCTTGTTGACCAGCTGGGAAAATATCTTTTTATTTAACTGCAATGCCAGTGTAAATAAATAAAAAAAGCAGTACTTATATTAAAGTGAAACTTTTAGTACGTCGCCACAAATTTTTTCGTTAATCTTTAGCATGTCGCTTTAAATAAAACTAGTTTTTACGGGTTAATGCACGAAACTTTATTTATTTATGTGAGTGATGTGCGTGAAAACCTAAGAAACAAATATGTCGCTTTAAGTTTCACTTGCATCGTGGTTTCATAAAGTGGGCTACTGACATCCCTGCCGCAGGGCGAATCTAGGGCGCACGGCGGACGGGGCAATATCGGCTTGCCTCTACACACATGCCTGCTATTCAGTGTTCGGGTATAAGTTGACCTAAACACACGCATTGATAATGACCCCAGTATCATCAAAATATCAAAAGATCCGTAGGTAGGGTCTTGGCTTTTTCTATGATGTTACCGCGAAAAAGGAAATACTGGGTAGATTGGCAACAGAAAGAAATGTATTGTAAATAAAATAATGTTTGTGTTTTTTTATCCGAAATGTGGTCCCGGTATCAAGTAATTATAATACTTCTATACACTCGAGACCAAACTTCATGCTCATTATGATCTGCCGCCATCTTGATCGAAATACGTGCACTCCGTGTGACAGTTACTAACCAACTGATAACGGCAACGTGCAGGGCGGCAGGGACAATCTAGGAACCAAGGTGGTCTCACGCCCCTGCCGCCTTCCCGCTGGGTCAATTTAGAAAATTGCCCCTGTTTGCCTACACACATCACATTAAGGAGGCAATTAAGGGTCATCCTCACTCTTACACCCTAGATTGCCTCTGAGGCAGGGATGTCAGGAGCCAGATTTATATTTTATTTTATACTGACGTGTTGTGCATCCAACCGCGGGGTTTCCTTGTAGCGGAGGCACGCAATGGCATGATGCGACGTGCGACATAGCGCGACATTCAGCACCAACACCGCACGTTGTAGTGGTACACGCGTCTGTGCATCTACCGTTCAAGCATGTCTCTTCGTCATCGCAGTCTGAATTCGAAGTGCATTCTCCTCCTGGATTAACAAGATTCCATTGTAACCTTACTCATAAAAACATTAAAATTGTTTCGTAAAAATCCTTGATGAAAAGTATACAATTTATGTAATGTTCTGTTTTACATATATTTATAAACACCTTTCTAACAATAAATTAATAAAAAAATATTATTATTTTGAATGTGTCTTAAATGATAAACACAATAACGCCTAAGCAATTTGGAGAGCTCTTATTAAACGTGTCAAAATGCACACGCACTTTTAACTAAATTTATTTGTATTAACGGTGCTGTATGTGTATTTACTAATAATAACAAGTGTGTTCGTTTGTTGTATCCAGTCAAAAATAAACGTATATGACTAAATGTGTATGACACAATCGATTGTGTATGTTCAGAAAAAAAATAAGGACCACATGCTCATATAACGATTATTATTATAATGACAAATATTATTTAAGTGCCTGAAATTAACTATAAATAACCTGAAAGGGCTATTTTTTAATTAACAATTTTCACTGTACAGCCATCTCTTTCCTTCAAAGTGTAATTATTATATTTAAATACCCATTTAGTAGTTTTTTAATATATACATGTGATACTAAATGGATTACAAGTGAATGCAGTTTACAGTGCAGAGAAAGTGCTGAATGTACCTACTATATAGGTAAATTTTCATCCTTTTACCATCATTTGACTTACTCTCTTAGTATGTCCATTACATAATCATGGAGCAATAAATCCACGGGTTGCCTGTATGCAAGATACGAAGCAAAACTGCTTGTAAAAAGAAAAGTTAGGAACAGGTGATATGTCTTGAGAAATTTTGATGACAAAAACAGGATTTACAGTAGATATAATAAATCTTACTTGGGTTGCATTGTACTGATGCATCTCCACTAAGTGGTTTGGGACACTCGCATATGAGGGTACGGAAAGGTAGTGTGTTTGCAACGCGACACACAGCTCGCACACCGCAAGATGTAGTCTCACAGGGATTTTGACAGTTTCCTTGCAGACATGCTAGGCCAGGTCCACAATCGGCGTCTTTCTCACATTCGACAGTTTCAAGTACTGAAAAATAAAATGAGACAATAATATTTTAATTCATTGAATTGAAGTTGCGATGTTTATATAGTAAATATAAGTTTTAATTTCTATATACCTTGTTTACATTCAATCTTTGGATTTCCAATAGTACCCCGTGGACACTCGCAATTTGGTGTATGACGTACAGCTGTGCAAAGCGCTCCAGGGGCGCAAGCTCCTGGGCACGGGTCCTGACAGGATCCATCCCTACAAGCCAACCAGGAGGCGCAATCTTCATGTACCGTGCACTCGTAAGTGCGGCATCCAGTCCAAGGATTGCCACGAGAGCCGGGGTCGCATTCGCACGATGCAATGTGACCTCGAGCTACACAGTGGGAGTTGATACCGCATCGTATGCGTGTGCATACTTTAATGCAAGAATTGCCTTCACAACTTTCATCGTCTGGGCAGTCGTTGTTGCTGTGACATTGAACTGTAAAATAAATTGAAAAATTAATAACTCGTTTTCAGTAGCGAATGTTTCCATTTATTTTAACTACTTGAAATTTGGATCATAATTTTATAACATTTTGACGAAGATGATAAAGATTAGAAAATTCTGCAGTGCTGAAAATGTTTTTTTTTTAATGTAAGAGCTTGCTTGAATTTCCCGATTGATTTTAAATAGGTGGCCCCCATAGTCTACAGAAGCTTGACCCGAACTCCTAAAAATGGCGGCTATGTAGTCCAGTGCTCTCCAACATCTCCCATACATTCAGTTACTAACTACACAGCCGCCATTTAGGTTGCATCGCACCACACCCGTGAAGCTCTAAATGCTTTACTCACTCCAGCTTTTATAATGTGGAGGTTACTTTTAAAGACGGGCGCTCTTATTTGAGCGGGAAATTCGCCAAATTACCAGACTCTCCTTATACCCACTAAATTTTTAAATAAGTTCGGTGTAAATACATACAGGCGGTCTCACTGCTAGCGTAGAGAACAATCAATCAAAGACTGATCGAGCAAATAGAAAACAGACAGAATGTTTTTCGTAATAGATTCTGTTATATATAAATATATTACCTGAATAACATCCTCTATAGGCGTCTCCTTCATAACCAGGTAAACAGGTACATCGAGCTCTGTGTTGTTTTCCTAAGCAGCGAGCATTAACACCGCAATTATTTGGACCGCAAACTGGTGTGCAGTGTGTATCTACACAAGCGGCATTATCAGGGCATTGGTTGTCATTGGTACATTCTGGTACTTGAGGTGGTGGAGTTGGTATTAAGATACGTTCGCAACGTACAAATGGAGAGCCGGTGTATCCGACTGGACAAGAACAGACAGCACCGTGTCTGACAACTGTACATAACGCATTGAGACCGCAGGCGTTGACGCATGGATCAGTGCATTTGCGGTTGATACACGCCCGATCTCCGCTACAGTCATCGTTGACAATGCATTCTGGATAGGTGCAGAACCCATCGCGGCATGTTCCATGTGGTCCACACGGATTTGGATCGCAAGGGTCATCGTAAACAGATGTTTCTGAAATAAAATTTCATATCATCATTAATATTGAAACAATTTTATCTTAAAACCTTAATTAGAGATGCATAAACAACATCAGCGTCAAAATTTGACCTATTTTAAGATATTTGAAGACATGCAATTACCTATAGTTCGGCATTCCAAGAATGGATCACCGCTTGTTAGTGCAGGACACGAGCATATGGGAGCATGATCGATAACGCGGCATTGGGCGCCATTGCCGCAAGCGCCCACACACGGGTTGATGCACTTATTGCGCACACATGCAAGGTCACGAGGGCATTCCGAGCTGACAACACATTCAGGTCGACAGCCCCCTGCTGCAGCATCACCATTAGTGCCAGTTGGGCACGAACAAACTGCATTGTTTCCTGATACTGAGCAAATCGCTCCTGGGCCGCAAGGTGATGGAGTGCACGGCGGCGCTATAATAAGAATTGAGACAATGATTTTATAAAACTACGAAAGTTAAATAGTAAAATTGCGTTTTACGACTAAAATAAAATTATAAATGCGAATATGTTTTTTTTGGAAAATTATACGTAAAATCATAATTTTCTACTTAAATATTAATATTCTGTAACATAAGTGTTATATTTCTTGAAATATTATGTCAAGTTTATTTATAATATTTTGAATACCTGTAGCAATAATATCACATTTTTCAAAGGCATTTCCTTTAGTTCCGGTAGGGCATGAACAAAGTGGTATGTGGTTGACTGTCTCGCATTCTGCACCGACACCACAAGTTCCTTGGCAGGGATCGCGGCATTTTGAACGAATGCATGCTCGCGACGGAGAGCAGTCTGAATCTGCGATACATTCTGGACGACACCCTGTGTAGGGATCGCCATGAAGACCCGCCTCACATTCGCAAGATGCCCCTGTTCCTCTCGTGCGGCAAATAGCACCCGGACCACATGGGGATGGGGTGCATGGATCGTTTGGTTTTGCTGTAATTTGAAAAGGTCTATTAAAAGGATGTCTTATTAATCAGTTCGAAATAGGTAGTAGCGACAAAAGAAAGCGCTTTTATGAAGCGAACAATAACGTCATGTCTCGAAAGCGGCTCACATAGTTCCACAAGTAAAACCCATGCCTTAGTTTTAAATGCGAAGACATATGATTGCCGTATTTGAGAACCCTCTACCTAATTTGAAAAGTTCCTAAATTTTTTTCGTTCCCTCATTAGCGAGGTGTATTCACGCGAGGTTGTGTTACCTCAATTTAAGGTTACACAACCCTCATAATTTTGTGAAATTAGCAATAAAATCATATCTCAGCAGCATTTCATATAAATCTTGTCTTACGGATGATCTTGACAGGACGACATTCCATAAGTGGATTCCCGGTTGTTGTGGGAGGACAATCGCAGCGGGGTTGATGTGCTATTGGTGTGCACTGAGCGCCGAAACCGCAAGCTCCAGGGCAGGGATCAACACAACGCTTGTTGATACATGTTAGACGAATGCCACAGTCGCTAGGACTTATGCACTCAGGGCGGCAGAATGGAGGTGAACCAAGGTAATTTTCTTTGCAATGACACTGATTGTTGATGCAATCAGCGTTCAGACCGCATTCGGAGCACGCAGACTTCGGCTCCGTGTTAATCGGTGCTACAGAAAAATATAAAATTGATTATTACATTTTGTATTAGAGTTTCGGTAAGTTCTAACACGAGTTTGTCTTTTCTTTTCTTAATTGTTTATTACCTGGTAAACAGCGAACGAAAGGATCTCCAATATAGTTAACGGGACAGGAGCAAATAGGTGAATGGAAGTTGGTACGGCAAACTGCGTGCGCTCCACAGGCACCAGGGCAAGGATCGCGGCACTTGCTGTTACGACAAGCTCGGTCTTGGGGACAGTCGCTATCGCGGCGGCACTCAGCTTGGCAGCCGGGGCCACGCTCCTCACTCGTAGCCGGACGACACGAGCAGTGCGCAACAGTACCGGCAGCGCGGCAGATACTATTAGGCCCGCACGGATTGGGTGTGCAAGGGTCTGACACGGTTAATTCTAGAAATATAATAATACAAATGTATTATTTGGTATAGGTTTTGCTCTTTAAGGTAAAAATAAATCTAACTACTGATGGCCTGCGCAGGTAAAGGACTTTTGTCCGTGCAGGACAAGAAAACTATAGGTATATTATATGTTGTATAAAACAGCGTTGCAGCAAGGGTCTGGCTGGTGGGTGAAGACGCCTATGAATTTGAAAAGTTGTCAACGCATAACAAAGGAAGGATGGTAGCGCCGCTGGTGAGTTTTAAGCGCAAACTGTAATGCCCTATATTCACTGTAAAAGTTACCATAGATTACACCAAGTTATAAGACAGCTTCTTCACTTAACGCTGTGTGTTTTATTCAACATATAATATCGGTTTTGTTGAAATGCAAAACAGTTCTATTTTTGGTGGACAAAAAAGACCGCGGACAAAAGTCCTTCGTCTGCGCAGGCCATTAGAGTCCCAGAAACTAGTTTTTTACTTCGTGTTGAGTTTAACCTGTACTTATGATAAATTTATATCAGACAATTTTTATAGTACGTATAGATTTTACTTATACTTACCAAATTTACGACGACATGCTAGGAACGGATCTCCTTGTAATGGTGTGGGACATTCACAGATAGCAAGGTGATTATAAACGTTACACACAGCATCTAGACCACAAGCGTTTATACATGGATTTACACATTTATAATGCACACAAGCCATCTGTTTTGAGCATTCGTTGTCGTTAGTACATTCTGGACGGCATTCTATCTTGGGATTGCCGTGATAACCACTTATGCAAGAGCACGTCCCATTGTCACAAATGGCATTGCTTCCACAAGGCGATACTACACATGGATCCAGAGGAGGAGGTATTTCCGGATCTGTTATAAAAATGAAATGCATGTTTTATTGGTTACAACAAATTATATCGATTATCAATAGGTTTATTTCAATATTTGATGTTTACCTTTAAGAATGTAACAACCTTCGAAAGAATTGCCACGATAGCCAGGAATACAAGTACAAATAGCCAGATGATTCATAGCTCGGCAATAAGTATTTGGTCCACAGGAGCCCACACAGGGATCGATGCATTTTTCCCGAACACAAGCCTTATCATTGGGACAATCCTCATTAATAGTACATTCTGGTGAACAATGTGGAGGTGCACCAATGTACCCTGCATTACAACTACATATTGCAGCTCCATTAACTTCTTTACACATCGAGAAAGGCCCACAAGGGTTAGGATCGCAGGGGGACTGATAGGTGGTAGGTGTTAATATTGGTTTCCTGCATATCGTAAATGGATCTCCCTCATAACCAGTTGTACATTTACAGTATGGGCTGTGACGATGAACTTGACATTCTGCATTCTGACCGCATGTACCAATGCATGGGTCGACGCATTTTTTCTGTACGCATGCTTTATTCAATGGACATTCCGGGCTTGTCAAACATTCAGGACGACAATTCGGTGGAACGCCAGTATATTCTGCAAGACATCTGCAGTTAGCTTGATTATTCGTCACTTGACACGTGCTGTAAGGTCCACACGGTGAAGGTTTGCAAGGGTCCACCGGTTTATCTTCTGTGAATGAAAATGCATATAGTTAAATAACAGTTTATCATAATATGTTTGATACATTGATTTAAAATAATTGTTACCTGTTCTAAGAATACAATTATCGTAAGGATTTCCGACGTAGCCGTGTACACAAATGCAGTTAGGCACATGATTAACTACCTGGCAAAGTGCATTTGTTCCACAAAGACCTGGGCAAGGATCTTGACATTTGTTTATGACGCAGGCCAAGTTATCCGAGCAATCAGAATTTACAACACATTCCGGTCTGCACCCTTCATACGGATTACCGAAGAAACCAGGAGAACATGTACAACTACCGACGTTATTGCGTTCTTGGCATATGGCATTAAGACCACAAGGATTTGGTGAGCATGGCTTAGCAGGTTCTACTGGTGTTTGAGAGCGAACTGAAAAAAGTAACACTTTAATACATAGTTCACTGAGGGGAGAATGTGACCGATTCAACAAGAGAAGGAAATAAAAATAAAATTTCCTTATAGGTAGATATAGTAATATGCAAACATTTTTTTAAAAAGATCTCCCCGTGATGTGTGTTTATAATAGCGTAAACAGTACCCTTAGTATGAGTTTGAGCTCACGAAAACTATGATAGTTAAAGGAAAATTTAAATAAAATAAAGAAATCTGCGCGCTTTTTACTTATTTTAAAATTTATGTTCAGTGAAGCATTTGGCTATAGTTTTAATAAAAACATTTTTAAGAGTCTCATACTGAAATAACCAAAAAAAAAAATTAATGCAACAATAATTACGTGCATTCTGTTTCATAAAAAAGGTCTTTCCGAGCAGCTGTAATAGAAAAATATTACATTTTCTGTTTGTCTAAATTAAAAGATATTTTTTTTCACTATATATTAAATTATTATTTTTAAGTATATTTCCATTAATACCACATTCCCAAGTAAATACTTGTAGTGATAAATGGTACAGGACTTAAGTGTAGGGTTTTACTCGGTCTGTATGCTTCTGCAGAACTCGCAAGGAAAGTATATAATAAAAATAGTAGGTATTTTATCTATAATACAATACTTACTAGGTACACATTGATCAAACGCATCGCCTTCATAGCCTGTTCGACATACGCACTGTGGGGAATGACTTATCACTCGACAATCAGCACTTTTGCCACATGCTCCTATGCATGGATCAACACATTTTTTGCTAACGCAGGCTTTATCAAAACTGCATTCGCTGTTTGTTATACATTCTGGACGACAGTACGGAGGGTTGCCTATAAAACCTGATACACACGAACATGTCGGTGAATCACCAACAACTCTGCATACAGAATTTGGTCCACATGGTGATGGCTCGCAGGGCTTACGTGGGCGTGGTGGTTCAGCTATATTAACAGAAAGTTATTTTATAAGAAAAGATGAAACACACTTGTCAATTATCATTAAAACATCATTAAGAAACTTACTTTGAATTATAATTGTGCATCGGGTAAACGGATCGCCATTATAGCCATTCGGGCAATAACAAATGGGTTTGTGGTTGTGAACTTTGCACTCAGCATTTAATCCACATGAACCTTGACATGGATTGACACATTTCTGATTTGAACATGACATCGTTGTAGTACAATCAGAGTCTACTAAACATTCAGGTCTGCATGAAGGTGGAACACCGATGTAGCCTATCAAACACGAACACATTGCTTGCTCGTAAACAGTACGGCATATACTGTTTGGGCCACACGGAGAAGGAACGCAAGGGTTTTGTACTGGAGGTGCTGAAACAAAATATATTTGTCAAAAAAAAAAATTACTGGGATATCAAATAGCAATAATATGTTGCTAGTAGGTACTTAATTAATACCTATAATTGCAGAACAGGAGAAGAAAGCATTTCCTGTAGTATTCGTTGGACAGCTACACATTGGAATATGATTGTAGACATCGCATAATGCTCCTTGACCACACAGATTAATGCAAGGGTCTTCACATTTGTTATTGTGGCAAGCACGATTTAATGCGCAATCTGAATTATGCGTACATTCAGGTCGGCAACTTAAATATGGATTGCCGAAATAACTAGATCTGCATGTACATACGCCTTCATTACAGTCAGCATTAGAACCACACGGGCTTGGATTGCATTTATCAAATACTGTGGGCACTGGTTCTGAAATTTATTTACAAAAAATATTAATAAAAATCGAAACATCATTAAATATTTTCTCAGGTTTATAAATTATTTAAATAATCTTCAGTAATAAATTTCTTTACTGTACCTATGTGTTCTACAATGCCACAACTTTGGAAAGGATTTCCGGTGAATCCTTCTTTGCAACTGCATACTGCAGCATGTTGGTACACGTGACATTCAGTTTGTAGACCACAAGATCCGACACAAGGGTCACGGCATTTATTATTGATACACGCCTTGTCACTAGCGCAATCGGAATTTATTGTGCATTCGGGTTTACAATTAGGTGGCGATCCAATGTATGTGTCCATGCATATACACACCGGTATTTTGTTTGTCACTTGACAGACTGAATTCGGACCGCATGGTGAGGGTACACACGGATTTAATTCCGGTGCGGGTAGTTCTGAAAGAGAAAACAAAATTATTGCATATTAATTCTAATATATAATGCCGAGTACTCAACTTTATTAAAAGTAGTGTTTGTTTTAATCTTACGTCTTATAGGTGTACATCGTATGAATGGGTCGCCTTCAAAGTCCTGTCTACAACTACAGATTGGTGCATGGTTGACAGCTCTACATTCAGCATTTACCCCACAGACACCGACACATGGATCAACACATTTTTGTTTTATACAGGTCTTCGTAGCCTCACATTCCGAGTTGATCGTACACTCTGGTCGACAATTCGGAGGTGATCCGAAAAAGTCAGGCATGCATGAACATGACACTTGACCATTATTATTCTTACAAATTGAATTACTGCCACATGGATTAGGCATGCATGGGTCTTGTGGCATTGACACTGTAATATAACACAAATTGGTTGATGACTTTATGAGCGTATAATAAATAGCATATTTAAATCTTATAGTACAAGGGCATTACGCGAAACTTTATGTAACAATTATTTTGGTGTTAAGATAGTCGATTGCGTGGTCAGTAGGCAGCAGTATAAAGTTTCATACAAAGAAATGATTGCTAAATGTCGTGAGAGATGAGAGAATGATAACGAGAGCAAGTAATAAAATACTATTAAACCATTTTTATTCACATACTCTACTGGTGACCGATAGTAGTTGAGATTGAGTACACGGGTGCCTCGTATCAACAGAGTAGAGCCACCGACCCAAATGAATGCTTAGACCGGCGCAAAGGTATTCGATAAAGCCTAGATAAACCATAATGCAGAATTTTGCATAGCTAACCGTGTTTTTTTCTAACATAATCTATGTACAATGTACATGTCTGCCGTATTGCGGAGCAATATTATCTTTTATTAGCAATTACGGTCGACTTATATTTTCATTACATATGGATACATTTAATGCATAGAGGCCATTTTCTTTAATATTAATTGTCGCAATTCTTAAAGAATTATATTTAGAAACTATACAAAAAAATACTACAGTAAAAATTAGGTTATGGATTATGTTCGACATAAGTACATATTTTAAAGTATTATTTCAAGATTTCGGCCTATATATCGTTTAACCCAATAATTAAATAACAGTCTGTTCGGTTCGAAACGCGGCTCGCGGTAACTGGGCCATAGTCCGCCGTGCACTTTAACATTTCAGTGCAATACATTTCGCGGTAGCAATTAGTTGTGCTCGTTAACATTATAACATAAATTCGGAACATTTTTATAACAGTTAATCACATATTAAGATAGTTTTAACAATAACATTTTTATACTTTTTCCTTTGACTTTAATTGAACATTTTTAAATATAAGTGAACTTTGTCCCAACTGTGGAATATTATACAGTTTAAAAAAGTGTATTTCTCCATTAAAACCCCACGCAGACTGATACCCCACTTCACTGGTCACTGGAACACAGTCACTTACCTGGTACATCCAATATTATATGACAATATGTGTATGGATTTCCTGTATATCCTGTTGCACAGCTACATACTGGAATGTGATTAATGACTTGGCAAATAGCTGTTGGCCCACAAGTTCCTGGACATGGATCTTGGCATTTATTTCTTAAGCACATCTTATTATATGGACAATCAGAATTCACTGTGCACTCTGGTCTGCAAGATTCGTAAGGATTGCCAAAATAACCAAGTTCACACAGACAAGCCGCTGCTCCGTTTGTTGACACTTTACAACGCGCGTTTGCACCACAAGGTGATGGATTACATGGGTTTACAGGAGTAGGCTTAGGTAGTTCTTGATAGCATGATGTGAATGGATCGCCTGTGTAGCCATTCTGACAGGAACACATTGGGCTGTGTAGATGAACGCTGCACAAGGTATTAATACCACACGAGCCAGGACATGGGTCCACACATTTATAATTAATACATGCTTTGTCCATTGGGCATTCATCATTCGCTGTGCATTCTCTTTTACATCCTGGTGGGGTGCCATCGAATGTAGGTAGACAGGAACAGATCGGTGAGTTGCCTTCTCCAACTACTTTACAGATGCTATTTGGTCCACATGGTGACGGCGTACAAGGACTTTTAGGTGGAGCATCGTCTATCACAACTGAAATTATAAAGAAATTGGATTGTTAGTAAAAGTAACTTTGAAGGTTCAAAACTTTACCCAATAATAATGAAATATATACATATATATATATAATGACTTATTTGTAATTGATAATTGAATAACACGTACCATAGCAATGCGTAAAAGGTGAACCACTGTATTTTGCTGGACAACTGCATATAGGATTATGGTTATAAACATTACATAGAGCATTTGAGCCACAGGAACCAGGACATGGATCTTGACATTTTTGATTAATGCATGCTTGAGAAGGAGGGCAATCAGTGCTTTGAATACACTCTGGTCTGCAGTTAGGAGAATTGCCTACAAATCCTTGTATACAAGCACATATCGCTTGATTATTGAAATCACGACAAACACTGTTGGGCCCACATGGAGATGGTCGGCATGGATTTGTGATTACCGGTTCTAAAAGGAAATCACAGTCGTTAATCAAGTATCACGAAAATACATACATGAAAAATAAACATTATTCCTGTGTTACTTACTTTCTATTGGTGTGCATTGTGTGAACGCATTACCCGTCATGTCCTGGGGACAACTACAAATAGCAATGTGATTATACACATTGCATTCTGCATTAAGACCACACATGTCCCGACAAGGGTCCACACATTTGAAACGTAAGCATGTTCTGTCTAAGGGGCAATCAGTATTAAGTACACATTCAGGTCTACAACCGAAATATGGGTCTCCATGATATTCCGGTAAACATTTACAAACTCCATTATTACATTCGGCGTTAGCACCACATGGTGACGGATGGCATGGATCAGGTTGTGGCTCAGTTTCTGAAATGTTAACACCGAAAAATTAATACACGACAAATTACACGAAAGATTATTATTTAACTATGTAACCATTGATAAACTAAAGCATTTTTCTTATATTACATAAAAGAAAGATTACTTATTTGGTAGCCACAAACCGTAAGGGATAAATAACATGATTATTGTTGCTATTTCTGCCACACACAAGTATAACTAGCGACCAGCTGTTTTAAATTAATTTTAAGGTGATAAATTAAGGCTAATATAATTTTCTCCGGGTGAAATAATTTTCTAAATTTGTTCAGTTGTTTTAGAGATTACATCTTAAGAAAAATATATACATCTTTTTTATAATGGTTTACATATAATATACAAGCGAACGAGTTGTCCTGCTCGATGAAGATATAGCAAAATATTACCTTGAGGTTTCAAAGTACACGCTGAGAATGGATTGCCCTCGTATCCCGATGGACATGAACAGACCGGAACATGTTTTATTACATTGCATAATGCATTTATTCCACATGAACCGAGGCATGGGTTTTGACACTTGGTATTAATACAAGCTTTATCATTACTGCAATCGTCATTAATAACGCATTCTGGTCTACAATTCGGCGGGCTGCCAATGAAACCAATTGTACAAGTACATGATGGTATGCCTCCAATATTCCGGCAATCTGCATTCAGTCCACACGGAGATGGTACACAGGGATCTACCTGTTCTATAAGTATTGGCTTTCTATCAGGTATTATATAACAAACGGAGAATGGATCCCCGGTATAACCCTGTTTACAGCTACAAATAGGACTATGTTTGATTACTCTACAATCAGTGTTTATTCCGCAGCTTCTCGGACAGGGGGTTATGCATTTGAGCTCTTCACAGATTTTATCAAGCGGACATTCGGAGCTAGTTACACATTCGGGTCGACACATGGGTGGTGATCCTTGATATCCGCTTAAACAAGTACATATTGCTAATCCACTTTGAGATTTACATTGACTGTTCGGACCGCATGGGGAAGGATTACAAGGGTCTGTTGTTTCGTCTGGAAAAAAAATATGTGTCACATAAATATCTACATAAAAACCGGCCTAGTGCGAGTCGGACTCGTGCACCGAGGGTTCCGTACATACCTGTAGGTATATTTTAATAATTATTAAAAAATATTTTTTATTATATAATGTAATTATAAAATTACGGTTTTCGCAAATTTTCTTATATCTGTATTATAAGGCGTTACTTCGTACCAAATTTCAAGATTCTAAGTTCACGGGAAGTACCCTGTAGGTTATAATTCCCGTGCGAGTTTCGAAATTTGCGGAAATTTGCGGCATAAACGGCTGTATCTTTTGATTGATTTGGCTTAGAAGTTTGATTTTTTCACAGCTCAAAGGGACAGTAGACCTGAGTATTAGATATGAATTTCAGTTTGATACCTCCACGCGCTCCTGAGAAAAACGGTCTTGACAGACGGACGGACAACAAAGTGATCCTATAAGGGTTCCGTTTTTTCCTTTTAAGGTACGGAACCCCAAAAACAAAATAATTTAAATTGAAGCGCTACTTACCTTGTTGCTTGTAATTGCATATTTGATATGGATCACCGTAATAATTTTCTAAACAGGAACAACTTGCAATATGGTTAATTACATTACATTGAGCATTTATTCCACAAGTACCAGGACAAGGATCTTTGCATTTATTTTGTATACAAGCAAGGTTTGACGGACAATCTGAGTTTATTGTGCATTCTGGTTTACAATTTTCGTACGGGTTTCCGAAATAGCCAGGTATACAAGTGCACGACCCTGCATTGTTACGTTCATGACATTCAGCGTTAGCACCGCAAGGTGAAGGGACACATGGTGTTGGCCTTTCTTGAATTGAACTGGCAATTATAATGTTGCAGGATATGAATGGGTCTCCGGCAAAACCGATCTGACACTGGCAAATCGGCGTATGACTTACAACTCTGCATTCAGCATTCAAACCACAAGAACCTGGGCAAGGGTCTCGGCATTTTTGATTGATACAAGCCATATTAGTTGAACATTCGCTATTGCTTGTGCATTCAGGTCTACAATTTGGTGGGGCACCGATGAATTCACGTAAACATCTACACTGTGCATTATTTTCACTCTCAGTGCATTCCGAATTAGGTCCACAAGGTGAGGGAAGGCAGGGGTTTATTTTTATTGGCGGTATTGCAGCTAAAATAAATCATAATATGTTAAAAAAAAAACTTAAGACATTTAATTTATCTTAGAAATCATAGTATCACTAATACATACGGATAAATTGGCATGTTGAAAATGGATCGCCTGAATATCCTGGCAAACACGTGCATATAGGATTATGGTTGACGACTATGCATTGAGCGTTACGCCCACACGCCCCTGGACACGGATCTATACATTTCTGATTAGAACACGCTTGATTTAATTTGCAGTCAGAACTAACAACACATTCTGGTCTGCAATTTGGTGGACTTCCTTTATAACCAGTAACACAAACACAAACTGCATGTCCGTTTACTGCTCTGCATTGGCTATTAGGTCCACAAGGAGAGGGTTCACATAAATTCGTTGGTATGGAAGGTTCTGTAAAAGTTAAATTGGTATTATATTGAGAGTGTATAAAGTTGAAAGGGGTGATCAAGTTTTAAGACATTTCCTTACGTAATCAATTTCTTAACATATGTTCTTACCATTTATTTTTGTACAATATTGGAAAGGAGCTCCAGTAAATCCAGTTGGGCAAGAACACATAGGTATATGATTGAAAACTTCGCATATTGCATCAGTTCCACATATTCCAAAGCAAGGATCTTTACACTTGTTCTTTATACAAGCCTTGTCACGTGGACAATCAGAGTTTAGTACACATTCCGGCTTACATCCAAAGTAAGGGTCACCGTAATATTCCGCTAGACAGGAACAGATTCCATCTTGACAAATGGCATTAGCACCACACGGTGACGGCAAACAAGGATCTACAGGTTCCACATCTAAAATAAATAAAGAGATGTAAAAAGTATCAAAATTTCATAAAACTACTCTTACTATATTTTCTTTTAAAGCTTGAAAATCAGGTCTACCTTCTATCACAGAACTTGTAATGACATAATTTTATTATATTATACATTTCAGTGGAAGGCATCATCTTCATTGCGCAGAAAATCGTTTGGCATTCACTCATGCATCAGAAATTAAAATTCATAAATTTAGACATATCAATATTAGGTCAAAAGAAAAGTGTTTAAAAACGTCATCATCATCATCATCAGCAGGCTATTAATCTTCCTACTACTAGACCACATACCTTCCCCATGTATGGAATGCTTAGATTAAAACAAAAAGGGAAGGAGACGGCACTAGGGGCTCAAAAGGTTATTTACGTAATCACCACTTTAAGGACAACAATACAGCTCAGCCATGCGAACTCGGACACAGACTCGCCGTTTCGCTCGCGCTGCGATGAAGCGTACAGTTATGTCTCGCTGACTCGATGGAATGTTTATTTACAGAGGTGTGCGTATGTGAGATTTGCTTATGCCGCCAGGATCAAGGGATTAACGTATCCGAAACACGGAGGAGCTCGATATAATTATTTTTTGGTCAAAAATCCAATGACCTACTATTGCAAAAGTTGCTTTATTTCCCAATCGTAAGCCGATTGCGCTAACCATCTACGCCATCGAACTTCTCAAGTGTTAAAAAGATATGCTTTACAAATATTCGTTCAAAGAAGATTATGCCAAGTTTAGTGTGTTATGCTAAATGAATTTCGAAGCAACAAGATTCTGTCAAATAGAAGGAAACAGAAATATACATTTTTATCAATCAAATTCAAAAGAATAATAATAAACCAAAAACAACTTTCTTATTTCTTACCTTGCTGTATAACGCAACTACTGAAAGGATCTCCAGAATAACCAGGTAAACATGAACATATGGGGCCATGGTTATAAACATTACATTGTGCATTGTTTCCACAGGCTCCCGGGCAAGGGTCAATACATTTATTATTGATGCATGCTGTAATAGCACTACATTCGGAATTTATAGTACATTCCGGTCGGCATCGTGGTGGTGCTCCAATATAGTTTTTGAGGCAAGTACAACGTGCTACTCCGTTATATTCTTGACATTCTGAATTTGGTCCGCAAGGTGACGGTATGCAAGGATGTACATTAGGTTCTGGTACTGGGTCAACTATCGGCACTGTAATAAAATTTATGTTTAGTCTTATATAATATTTACTTATCTTGAAAATTTCAATTTATAACATGACTAACTTACTTGGTACACAATTGGTAAACGGATCACCAGTGTAGCGTTCTGTGCAGAAGCACATCGGGTTATGAGCAATCACTTTGCAATTGGCATTTCTTGCACATTGACTTATGCATGGATCTACACATTTTCGATTAATGCAGGCTTTGTCAACTGTACACTCACTATTTATAGTACATTCAGGTCTACAGTTTGGTGGAGTTCCTACGAAATCATCCTGGCAGCTGCATACAGCTTGAGAATTTACTTCGCGACATTGACTATTTGGACCACAGGGCGTGGGAGTACAAGGCGCAGGTTTGGTAAAATCTAAAATAAAATGAACAATTATGATATGAACAAATAATGAAACTTATAAGAAATTAGATGTATTTCAAATTTCGTTATCTGCATAGAAAGATACCTTCTGTTTTTTCAACACAATATGTGTACGCATTGCCAGTTAAACCTGGTGGGCAGTAACAGGATGGTAAATGATTCACAACTTGGCATATCCCGTTCCTAGCGCAAACACCAGGACAAGGGTCGCTACATTTGTTTTGGACGCAGGCTAACATTGGCGGACAATCACTATTGATAATACATTCTGGCCGACATCCTTCATACGGATTACCAACATAAGCTGCGATACATATGCAAGATCCAGCTCCGTTCCGTTCTAAACACTCAGCATTTAATCCACAAGGAGAAGGTTCACACGGAGAATTGTATTCGATTGAAATTTCTAAAACACAAATTGTTAAAAATACTTATGCTGCGTAATATTCATTTACATATTTTATTACTTAAACTGTGGTTATATCTTCTTACCTGTTATTTTATTACAAGAAACCAGAGGGTCACCTGTTTGATCAAAAGGACAAGTGCAAACTAAAGCATGGCTTATTACTTTACAGTCAGCATTGTAACCACAGCTACCCGGACAGGGATCTCTACATTTCTGATTAATACAGGCTGTATTGCTGGGACATTCAGAATTGCTGACACATTCTGGGCGACAATTAGGTGGAGAGCCAATGTAATTTGATTGACAGGTACAGGATGGAGATTCTCCTATAACTTTGCATATAGAATAGGGTCCACATGGAGATGGTGTGCATGGATCGACCGGCGGTAAAGGTGCAGCTACTAAAATTGAAAAAAGAAACATATATTTTTAATGTATTTTACTAAGTAAAACTAAATTTATCTTCTATCTATCTATCACACGAGCTACAAATCCTTGCTTTTGTCTCTTTCCATAAAGCTTTGGAACCTTAAAAGACTAGTTGTTTTTTCTTTTGAAGTATTTATAAGATTTGCTTATCAATCTAAACTAAATGCATTGTTGAATGAGATATTTTCACAAGTATTAATATCGCGATTCTGTTAAAATATTTATTTTGTCATGTTAGAATAAATATTTCTCACCAGCCTTTGTCTGTGAATACGTCCGCGTGAAGTTTAGAATTCAAAGGTAGAAACTTCTACATATATAATATTAAGCAGACTAGTTAAATTTATATTGATAATAGGTTTCGCTCCCCAATTATGTGCACTCCAAGCAGTAATTGTCAGATTTCAAATATTTTCTATATAAATTTTAGATCACCCTTACTCTCTTAAAATATATAAATAATTTCTGCCTAGATACAATTTATTTTTTCCAGGATTTTAAAACCTAACTTAGATCATTTGTTAGCACCGTTCGGCATTTTTAGCGCCAGTAAATTAATTGAAAACTAGTGTATGAAAAATATTGCATAACTGTATAACTAGTCTGGCCATAAATACTGTTACATAAAAACTTTTCTTTATTTCAACTTTTTAATTTGGAACAAGTATATTATTTTAATAACTTCTTTCGACTTTACGCTATTTCACATATTTTTTCGTGTTCATTATCTAATTACAATGTGGAATGGGGTGTTAGAGAAAGTAGGAATGCAGTGATCGCCTTGCACAAACTGGGTTTTGAGCCGTCGGTCATATTCCAGTCACTTCAAAAGCTTGGTATCAGCCGTATGTTCGTATATCATACTTTCAACAGATACAACAACACTTCGTCTGTCGAAGACCAGAAAAGATCGGGGCGGCCGCGTACTGTTAAAACTACAAAGGCTGTCAATGCTGTTATAGCCAGAATGCGTCGAAAAGGCATTAGAAAGTAAAAAATCTTATCGCGAGAAATGAAATTTCCCGCTAGGGCTCTGTAGCGTATTATAAAACAAGACCTTAAGCTCGGTACTTATCGTCGATATACAGGACATACCCTAAATCAATCATTACAATTAAAGAGGATAGACCAAAACTCCTTCTATCGCGATACGCAGGTGAAAAGCACAGAAATATCTTCTTTACCGATTAAAAAAAAATCACGATTATAATATAACTATATATATTATTATCATTCACCAAAAAATATTAATTATTACTGTTGTTATTACTTTTTTAGTATTTAGATTTATATTGAATTTTTGAATTAATATTTACCCATCAGAATTTAACACACACAAATTGTGACACACGTATTTGAAAGCGGCAGAAACCGCTACCATACGACCACATGTGGTTATTCCTGACCTTTGCATTTCTAGTAATATTAATTTTAAATGTTTTTTAAATGTTTGGCGAGATATGATCCTCCTTAGTGGAGGTGGAATGTTATTCCAGCACCTGGTCGCCTGATAGCGGAAACTACCCTTAAACGTCTGTCTTGGTTGCCTGTCAGCGTCATAACGTAGTGCCGCAGTAGGGAATTTTAATTTCTCATTTAAATAACTTGGACTCTTGAATTTCATGATGTCAAACATTAAAACTACTAGATGTAAACGCCTACGCGATTCCATATTCAACATCGAAGCCCATTTATGAAAGGTGATATATGAGTACGTGGTGGGACATTACAACAGAAACGACAGCAGGCATTCTGAATCCGCTGCAGTAACCTCCTACTCCCACTTAACAGCCGGGGGCCGTACACAAGATCACCATAATTTAATCTTGAGAGTATAAGTGTTTCACAGAGGGTAATGCGAGCATTTTCTGACAGTAGGCCACGTATCTTATAGAGAACTTTTAAGCGATAAAAACAACTCTTCACTAGGCCTAATACGTGAGACTCAAAACGCAACTGGCTGTCAAAAACAACTCCAAGATTTCTGGCCTCACTGACTCTCTCCACAACTTCGCCACAGACTCTGACACCAACAGCACTGCCTGAGACCCTATCTAATTGTTTACTCGTGCCGAGCACCATAAATTTGGATTTTCGTGGGTTGAGAACTAAAGCATTATCAGCAGACCAGGCAGTCACCGCATCCAAATTTATATTGAGCTCACAAATCGCATCGCTTATAGTGTTTGGCGTTTTGGACACGTATAACTGCACATCATCAGCGTAACAATGATACTTGCAGTGTCTTATAGCAGTTGGTAAGTCAGCAACATATATAAGAAAGAGTAAAGGCCCAAGTATAGACCCCAGAGGGACAACGCGTCTTACAAGCTCTGAACCCGAAGTCAATAAAGCATGTCATATCAAGGAGTTACAAAACAACATTTTTGTGACAAAGGAGTGAAAACTTTAGCGAAAGTATATCAAGATACAGTCTAGGATCATGTTGTGAAACCTCAGAGCAATACACTTTTTAAAAATAACCGTGAACTTGCAGGATTTTGCACCTGGTGACAAGGCACGAACTACCCAAGCCTTGCTTGAAACCAACGTTCCGGACTTTATAAGAGCTGAAGACTAGCCCTCATCTAGCCCAGACCTCAAACCTTTAAACTTCAAATTATAGTCAGTTTTAGAGGACATGGCCTGCTGTAAAAGACACGGTGACATTGAGTTTCTACAAAAATCTTTACATCGTAAATCCATAGATTAGTGGCCAAACGTGGCCATTTCGAATAGAATATTTTTTTGTCTTTTGCTGAATAATTAGTAAATATGTAGGTATAACATTTAATAATATTACATTACTTCATTAAAAAAATGCATTTTCATTTACACACAGAACTTATGGCTAGACTAGGTAGAACCCAAAAACATAAAAACAAAAGAAAGCGATGTATAGCCCTGCTTACGAAAGGTTCACAACATAAAAGTAAATGTTTGGATATTATATATATATAGTAGGTATGCAATCACAGTAAGTGATTAAAGTACTCATTGCATGTACTCACTGTATATAGTTTAAAGTAATGAGATCTAAAGAAAGCAATAATAGAAAACATGTAATTTTACCTATAGCAATACAGCGTGTAAACGGATCTCCTGTGTATTCTGATGGACATGAACATATGGGATTATGATTAATGACTTCACATCTGGCTCCATAACCACATGTTCCTATGCAGGGATTTATACATTTATGGTTATTGCAAGCCTCATTTCGGGGGCATTCAGCACTTATTGTACATTCTGGCCTGCAGGTTGGAGGGCTCCCAATATACGTGGGTAAACATGAGCAGGCTGCTTGATTATTTGTATTTCTGCACTGGCTATTTGGACCACATGGATTTGGATCACAAGGTTCGACTTTGATAACTGTAACAATGACATCACATTAACATACGTAATGATTACCGACAGAAAACATGTTTGGGGTATTATTTTTGTATGATTTTATTATTTAAAATTTATGCTTACTTTCGAAGGGATGGCATTCAATGAAAGCATTTCCTGTACTTCCCTCCGGGCATGTGCAAATTGGTATATGATTATATACGTTACAATTAGCACTCGTGGCACATATGTCCGGACATGGGTTGACACATTTATTCCGAGAACAAACTTTGTCCAAATTACAATCCATGTTGACTACACATTCTGGTGTGCAACCTACATAAGGATCTCCTTGATACTCTTCTAAACACGTGCATATGCCGTCTCTGCAATTGGTATTGAATCCGCAAGGCGATGGATTACATGGATCTGATGGAATTTCATCTGTGAAGCAAAATATCAATTAGAGAAGATCTATGTAAACCAAATATAATTAACAATCAGATATATCAATAAGTATAATACCTTGAATAGGTGGGATTGGAACACAATATGAGAACGGGTCGCCCGTGTAACTTTGTTGACATGTGCAAGCTGGATGATGATTAAATACGGTACAAATACTATTTTGACCGCAACTACCAGGGCATGGATCCATGCACTTCATATTTACACATGCTTTATTTGAAGGACAATCTTGATTAATTGCACATTCTGGTCTACAGTTTGGAGGTTGACCTTGGTAATTTTGCATACAGCTACAAGATGGCGTTCCATTTATATCACGGCAAATTGCGTTCTCGCCACAAGGGTTTGGAACACAAGGATTTCGATAAGGTTCAGACTCTACTGGTGCAGTTGCTAGATAAATAAATAGGTTTCAAATTAAAATTGATTAACAAAATACGTAATGAACCAATAATAATAGTTAAAATAACACAAAATTTATTGAAGTGATAGTTGTTATTCAAAATTATATGCTTACGTTGTACGAAGCAGCGAATAAACGGATCGCCAATAAAACCAAACTTGCATGAGCATATTGGGCTGTGATTAATTACTCTGCAATTAGCATTTAATCCACAATGTCCGGGACAGGGATCGACACATTTTTTATTTACACATGCTTTTTCTGATGTACATTCTGAACTAATTGTGCACTCTGGTCGACAGCCAGGAGGTGATCCAATGTAGTTAGGCATACACGAACAAACACTTTGTCCGTTTACTGGACGACAAATACTATTGGACCCGCATGGATTTGGTACGCATGGTGTAGCTGGCGAAGGAATTAATTCTAAAAAAAAACAATTTACAGTAAATCAATACATAAACCAAACAAAGTAAAATATTCTACCAAGTAAATACAAAATATACCTGTTTCCACACGACATTGTACATATGGATCTCCATTATATCCAGGTGGACAGGAGCAAACTGGCAAATGATTAACTACAACACATGTTGCTATTAATCCACATGTACCTGGGCATGGATCTTGACATTTGTTTCTTATGCATGCTTTATTTGATAAACAGTCTGTATTAACAGTACATTCTGGTCGACAACCTTCATAAGGATTTCCAATATAATCAGAAAGACATATACAAGACCCAGCGTTTTTATATTCTTTGCAGATAGCATTAGGTCCACAAGGCGAAGGTTGGCATGGTTTTGGTTTTTCGATGAGAATATCTTGTTGTATGATGCAACTAGAGAAAGGATCTCCAATGTATCCATTTTCGCAGAAACACATCGGGGAGTGACTGATCGCTTTACATTGTGCGTTTACACCGCAAGCATTTGTACACGGATCTTTACATCTTTGATTAACGCAGGCTAGATTCGAAGGACATTCACCGTTGCTACTACATTCTGGTCTACAATGTGGGGGCGAACCAAAGAAATCAGGCATACAAGTACACGAAGGAGTTTCTCCAATGACTTTGCAAATTGAGTTTGGTCCACACGGTGAGGGTACGCAAGGTGTTACATTAACATCTACCGGCTCTGTGTTGAAAACAAAAAATAAATTAGTGTGAAAACAAAACTATTAAAAAACAAGGGTTCAATAGGTCCAAATGATACTTACTAAAAGGCACACATCTGATAAACGGATCCCCTGTATATTTCGAAGGACATGTACAGATAGGGTTGTGTTTTACTACATTACACTTTGCTCCTACACCACAAGATCCTATGCAAGGGTTAATACATTTCTGATTGCTACAAGCTTTGTTAAGTGGACAGTCAGAGCTAACGACGCATTCCGGTCGACATAGTGGTGGGCTTCCTATATAACCTACTACACAGGTGCATACAGCTTGTCCACTTATTTCTTTGCATTGACTATTCGGACCACAAGGAGATGGATAGCAGGGATTTGTTGATATAGGCACTAAAAAAATATTCATATCAATATATATATCAAACTCTGTATATACTATAAAGTTCATTTTGTTTTCATTACCAGATCATAATTATACCTTTGATAGGGTCGCAGTTATAAAAAGCGTTGCCTGTCATTCCTTGAGGGCAACTACACATTGGAATATGGTTTATTACATCGCAAATAGCATTAGAAGCACATGTGCCTTCACAAGGGTTGATACACTTATTTTTGGAACATGCTTTATTCCTCGGACAATCGGAGCTCAAGACACATTCCGGTCGACATCCGATATATGGATCTCCTTGGTGTTCTTCTAGACAAGTACATATCCCATCATTACAGATAGCATTTGGTCCACAAGGAGATGGTTCACACTTATCCGTGGCATCATTTTCTGCAGTAAACATATGTTATTAGTAATAACTTAAGTTTGTATACAAAGTACTGTTCAAAAATAAATATATTGCTGTATACCTGGCGGCTTCGGTGAGCATGCTGTAAAAGCATCACCAGCGTATCCTTCGGGGCAAATGCATATCGGCACATGTTGAGATACTGAGCATATAGCACCTATGCCGCACGAGCCTAAACAAGGATCGCGACATTTCTGTTGTATACAAGCTTGAGACGCTGGGCACTCAGCATTAATCGTACACTCAGGTCGACAATTTGGTGGACTCCCAACATAGTTAGCCATACAAGTGCAAGACGGTACGGATCCTATTTCCTTACAAAGAGAATTAGGACCACAAGGTGATGGAACGCATGGATTTTTGTACGGTTCTAAATCTGGATTAGATAACGGAGCTGAAAAAGAAAATTATTTCAAATGCATGCAAACAAGTTTACATAAGTTGTTATTTTTAAATAATGACTCAAAGAAACTTACGTTGAATAGGATTACATCTCGTAAACGGATCTCCTGTATATCTTTGTTTGCACTGACAGATTGGACTGTGATTTATTACCCTACATTCCGTGTTCAAACCACAAGCATCAACGCATGGATTTTGGCATTTTTGATTTATGCAAGCTTTATCTCTAGGGCATTGAGAGCTTACTGTACACTCTGGGTGGCAACTAGGTGGAGTTCCGATGTAATTAGGTAAACAGGAGCATACCGCTTGTTTATTAACTTCCTGGCATCTACTGTTCGGTCCACAAGGTGATGGTTGACATACATCAACAGGCATTTCCAGTATTTCTAAAAAAAACAGATTTTAGTATTGCCTTAACTATATTTATAATATAATTTCAAATCCAAAGGTATAAATTAAGAAAAAGTATACTAACGTTCAGCAACACAAAAGCGGAATGGATCCCCAGTGAATCCTCGGTCGCAAGAGCATGAAGGGGCGTGATTTACAACTTGGCACAAGGCATTAGGAGCACAGGCACCAGGACATGGATCTGCGCATTTATTTCTTATACATGCCTTATCTGATGTACAATCAGTGTTAAGGACACACTCTGGTCTACAGCCTTCATAAGGATTTCCAATATATTCTGGCAAACATGTACAAGACCCTGCTCCGTTGAACTCTTTACAAACAGCATTCGCGCCGCATGGAGAAGGTTGACAAGGGCTTACAACTTCTGGTACTATTGCAGTTCTGTGGCAATGTGTAAATGGATCGCCAGTATAATCGGGCAAACAAGAACATGAGGGCGAGTGACTGATTACATGACATTCAGTATTACTACCACAAGATCCTGGACATGGGTCAGCGCATTTTTCGTTAATGCAAGCATGATTAGACGGACATTCGTTATTACTTATGCATTCCGGCTTGCAATGAGGTGGAGATCCTAAATAGCCAGTCATACAAGAACATGAAGGATTTTCAGATATTTCTTTACAGATGGAATTAGGTCCACATGGTGACGGTATGCATGGATTTATCGGTTCCGGTTTAAAATCTAAAACAAAACATCTGGCGAAAGGATTTCCGGTGTAACGTCCTGGACATGAACATATCGGATTATGATTTATGACTTGGCATTTAGCTGCAATGCCACACGTGCCTTGGCATGGGTCAATACATTTTCTGTTGCTACAAGCTTGACTGGGCGAACAATCAGTGCTCACTATGCATTCTGCCCTGCAGGAGGGTGGGCTTCCTATAAAGCCGACAAGGCATGAACATACCGCCTGCCCATTAATATCACGACATTGACTATTTGGGCCACAAGGGTTTGGTTGGCATGGCTCAAGGCGAACAACTGAAATTTAATAAGAAAAGTCTTTATTTTAATAATTATTCTTATAGAAGTCACAAAAAATATGTAGCTATTATTTTATAAACTTATAACCACAACGCCTGAAATTACCTTCTAATGGTGAACACTGAATAAAAGCATTTCCTGTCATACGTTCGGGACATCTGCACATTGGTACATGATTTATTACTTCACATAGTGCAGTTGCTGCACAAACGCCACTGTTACAAGGATTAAAGCATTTGTTACGAAGACAAGCCTTGTTTAGTGGACAGTCTGTACTCAGGACACATTCTGGACGACATTCGAAGTACGGATCACCATGATATTCAGGCAAACATGTACATTCGCCATTGTTACAGACTGCATTAGGTCCGCAAGGCGATGGATTACATGCATCAATTTCATCTTGAATGACATCTGTAAAATATTTTTTAAGAATTCAACAAACACAGAAAAACGTATAGTTTCTGTAAACAAGAAAAAGTAAATTAACAAAATTTACCTTGTAATTTGCATTCCGTGAAAGCATCACCTACGTAATTGTCAAGGCAAGAGCAAATAGGCATATTCCTATTTACAGAACATTGAGCATTTATTCCACATGAGCCTGGACAAGGATCTGCACATTTTTGATTTATGCATGCCAAATTACTGGGGCAATCAGAATTAATAACACACTCTGGCCGGCATGCTGGAGGTGCTCCGATATAGTTTGGCAAACAAGTGCAAGATGGAATTTGGCCTATATCTCTGCATTCACTAAAAGGTCCGCAAGGTGAAGGTAAACAAGGATTTCTAGGTTCAACTTGACTAGGCATACTTAAGATAATTGGGTAACATCGGCTGAATGGATCGCCAGTATAGCGTTCAATACAGGAGCAAATAGGGCTGTGATTTATCACTTGACAATTGGTATTCAGTCCACATTGTCTTTTACATGGATCAACACATTTCTGATTATCACAAGCACGGTTCACTGGACATTCGGCACTGACAATACATTCGGGTCGACAGTTTGGAGGAGCACCTCTATATTCGGGCAGACAACTACATACGGCCTGATCATTAACTACTTTACAGACGCTATTTAGTCCACAAGGAGACGGAGTGCACGGTTTAGTAATCACCTCTAGTTCTGAAAGAAAGGTAGCTGATTTAAAAAATGATAAATATAAAAACTTAAAAAAAAGAACTTAATGAGATTGCTAAACTCACGTCTTATAATACATTTCTGGAACGGATTTCCTGTGTATCCAGCTACACATGTGCAAATGGGAACGTGGTTAACGGCATGACATAGGGCATTTTCACCACATGCACCAGGACATGGGTCCTGACATTTATTTTGTTGACATATTTTGTTCGATGGGCAATCCGTATTAACAGTACATTCTGGTCTACAACCTTCGTAGGGGTTTCCAAAATATCCATCCGAACAGATACATGACCCTATGTTATTTCGTTCTTTACAGATGGCGTTACTTCCACATGGTGACGGTGAACATGGTGTTAAATTTTCCAGAGCATTTTCAATAGGTTGTAGATGACATTGTATAAATGGATCTCCGAAATATCCTTGTGGACATACGCAATTGGGTGTATGACTCGTGACGCGGCAAAGTGACATCGAACCACATGCACCAATGCAAGGGTCCGCACATCTATTATTTATACAGGCTAAATCATTGGAACATTCACTGTTACTAGTACATTCAGGGCGGCAATTTGGTGGATTTCCAATGAAGTCGGGCATACAAGAGCACGATGGCGAGTCGGTAATAGCTTGACACACTGAATTTGGGCCGCATGGTGACGGTACACAAGGGTTTATTTGCACAGGAACTTGAAGTGCTAAAAGAAATATAGATTTGAATATTTACATGCATTTGTATTAATATAACAAACTTAAATTTAGAGCATAACTTAATGACGATTTGTGAGGGAGGAAGTAACTGATCCGAGCGTCCTTCTGGGGAAATTACAATCTTTCAGTCGACTACAGCTAAAACAACACTATTCTTAAGTGTTGTGGTTCTACTTGCCTTCAGTAGGGTTTTCAAAACTACGTGGGGCAAGAGATGGGGTTGATGTGGTTAATGGTCGCGTAAGAAATACCATAGCTTTTACCCGCTTGCTATGCCTGCAAGGGTGTAAAGATTATGGCGCTCACTCACTATTAGACGAGCCATATGCATGTTTGCTACTACTTTGGCATAAATAGAATATATTTATCTATACTAATATCATAAAGAGGAAAGATTTGATTGTTTGTTTGTATTGAATAGGTTCCAAAACTTCTGGACCGATTTGAAAAATTCTTTCACATTTTGTATCCTACATTATCCCTGATGAACATAAGCTATAGAATATTTTCAAAAAAGTAAGGGCTCCATATGAATGAAAATGAAATGAAATGAAAAATCTTTATTGGCCATGGTATAAGAAACAGAGGAAAAAAAAATATAAAAAAGAAACTTAACCTAAGAACAAAAATTAAACATTAGGTTTAAAATGGCCAATCAGGACCCTGCCTCAGCTTATGCTGATACAATGAGAAAATATTCTCTCACTGTATCAGCGCTGGTATTCTGGCAGGGCCTGTTTGAGGACGTATTAGGCGCTATAGTAACGATTCTGGCGTGACTCTCCGAACCCAAAACCAAATTCAACACCGGTCCCTCCCCTTCATTCTGTATAGAGAATGACAGGAATGCACCGCCGTCAAACCCAAGACTAGCCCTAGAGAATCACGCCCTAATCGACATCATTATAAAAGAATACTTAATAATAAAAATAAAATAAGAACAAAAAAAAAAGAAGGACATTCGACATTTACATTTTGAAAAATTATAAAATTACATCTTAAGCACACGTCAGACAATTGCACATTAACTATATATACATACTCGTACATGCACGCACATCCACAGATACGCATATATATTCATACACAGCACGTACACATACATACACACACTGAGAGATATATATATATAGAACATAATATTCATAAATAAAAATACATTTACATATATAAAACTAGCTTTGACGAAGGAGCCGATTTTTAAGACCGGCACGTAAACTAGGAACGCAGCCCAGCAACCGAACTTGAAAACTTCTAAAACGAATATGAAAACTTCGATAACGTAACCCAGGGTCATAGATAAATGATTAGTCTAGCTATGCTCGACTGGATTCCGCCGGCCTACTGAAGAAATGCGGCAATCAATACTATACCAATTTCGGCTTACCCGAACCTTCACCGTGTCAGTCACATTGACAGCTGCGCTTGAGGTGTTAGTCCCGAATATTTTATTAAATTTTGAACACAACCCGTAGCAAAATGCCAGTTTGTGTAGTGAAACTGTGTAAAAATATTACATCAAAAAATAAAAAGGACACTGAGATCACATAGCATCAGTAAGTATCTTATAATTTCGAAATTTCGACGTAAAATTATATGAAAATTAAACGTCATTCAGTGTTGCCAAGTACGCAATATAAAAGTCTCAATGGTGGTTGGTATTGTTAGTGTGGATCGACGACAGCACAAAATATTTTCCCTTTTACTGGGGTAATACTTCAGCAGCTGGCTACACTTTTTTTGACATACAACAACGTCCTTGCAAAATGATATACACACACTACAATAATGAGTTGCCGTATAACCGGAGTCTAGCGACACCAATCATTTATCAATGCCCAGGGTGTGAAAAAAATACCAAAAAATAACCTTATAACACTTCTGCTGCGGAAGTCATTGACAGTAGAGCAAAGAGATGTACTAAAGTTTTGTAGAAGAAATCAATATCTACAAAAAATCAATGATCCATATGTCTAACTATTACAGTTATGTTACAACTGAAGATCCCCTGCGGTTTCACCCGCGTTAATTTGAGGAAAAAGTTATAGTTAGCCAAACTTAAAATATACTTATGGGTATATGCTGTCCCGGATTTTTTATAGAGCTTTTAAAGGGAAACAATTCCGCCATATATGATTTTTGTGTAACTTTAATCATTTACGCAGCGCACTCAATAAAAGCTCACAAATAGAATATTTTTACCTGTTTTTGCAATATTTTACATCGATGATCCGCTCCTACTGATCGCAGCTATAACAATAGCCTTAAGCCTTTCTCAATAAATGGACTATCTAGCACAAAAAGTTTTTTCAAATCGGACCATTGGTTTCTAAGATTTGCGCGTTCAACCTTAAAAATGGTGCATTCGGTACAACAGGTCCTAAAGTACGCAACAAAATTTTCTTTATCAGTTATATAAATTTTCATGGAAAGTTTATCTAATATATAAAATTCTCGTGTCTCGGTGTGCGTAATTGAACTACTCCGAAACGGCTCGACCGATTTTCGTAAAATTTTACATGTATATTCAGTAGGTCTGAGAATCGGACAACATCTATTTTTCATCCACCTAAATGTTAAGGGTGGTCCACCCTGAAATTATGTTTTGATCAATATTTGTTTTAATTTTTTTATAATTCATCATACAAAAATACATAAAACCCTAAATTTTCACCCTTCTACCACCAACCCCTATTTTTATAGCCGTACGAAGTTCGCTGGGACAGCTAGTAATTATATAATGAAATTCATTGTGTATAATACAAGCCCGAGAACAAAAACTATAGTCCACCTACACTATAGCTCTACACTGAAGCGAAGCAAGGGCGGGCCACTAGTATTTAAATAAAAACGAATAACTATATGAATTAAACTACATAAAATATTTGCTAATAGTAACTTTAATTTAAAAATTGCCAAGTCTTATTTAAGATTGATAGAGATACTCGATGCACATTGAAATATGACCTTATTGTAAAGTATAATAAAATATTTGGTAAAAAAAATGTAAATAATGGAAAATAAATGAAGAAGCTAACTTACGTTTTGTAATACATCTTGTAAATGGATCTCCTGTAAAATCTCTTGGACAAGAACAAATCGGGTTGTGGTTCACGACTTCACAAAGAGCATTAATACCGCAAGCACCTTTACATGGATCAACGCATTTGTAATTGTTGCATGCTTTATTTAGCGGACATTCTGCACTGGTTGTACACTCAGGTCTACACGTTGGCGGATTTCCTGAAAACCCTGGTATACAGGAGCAAACCGCCACACTATTGATCTCTCTACATTGACTGTTTGGTCCACATGGCGAAGGATTACAGGGATTAGATGGTAAAGGCACTGAAAAGAAATAAAAAATAGATCAGTATAAATACGCAAATAACACACATATATTGTTATAAGACAAAATGATGACATACCAGGATTAATATTGCAAGCTACAAAAGAATTGCCTGTATAACCCGTAGGACAGCTGCACATCGGTATATGGTTAACAACTTCGCAAATTGCATTAACGCCACAAGTATCTGGACAAGGGTTTTTGCATTTCATGTTAACACAAATTTGGTTTCTTTGACAGTCTGAACTAACTGTGCATTCAGGTCGGCAAGCTATATATGGGTCTCCGTGATATTCTGGCAGACAAGTGCACTCTCCATTATTACAATTTGCATTTGCTCCACATGGTGAGGGGTTACAAAGGTCAGCGGGCACAACTAGAAAATAAATGTAATTTATTGCATGGGATATTAATTTCAATGAGTTTGTTTTGAACTATGTGTGTAGTTTTTGTAACGTCTGCACAGACAGAAATAACAGGTATAACGATTGTGAAAAAAAGACAACTAGTTAATTACCTTGAATTGGTTCTAGATGGCAGCCAGTAAATGGATCACCTTTATATCCTTCATGGCAAGTACAAATAGAAATATGTTTCATAACAGTGCATATTGCGTTTTGTCCGCACGAGCCAGGACACGGATCTTTACATTTTTCATTTATACATGCGAGAGAACTGATACAATCTTGATTTGTAACACATTCAGGTCGACAATTAGGTGGGCTTCCTATAAAATTGTTTAAACAAGAGCAAGATGGTTGTCCACCAATATTTCGGCATTCAGCATTTGGTCCGCATGGAGAAGGTACACAAGGATCTCTATTTTCATCTAGCTGCGGTTGAGGCACTGAAAATTTTGAAATATTATAATACACTAGCGGACCCGACAGACGTTGTCCTGTCTAGTATGGTAGCGCCGTCTGTCGGATCCAATGTAAAACATTCCAAAATCAACAACTACTAATAAATTAAAAATTAATTAAAAAAACATTGTCCAGCGGACAAAATTGTGAATCTAAACCATTCTCAGATCCCCTTGGACACACACAAAAAATTTCATCAAAATCGGTCCAGTCGTTTAAGAGAAGTTCAGTGACATACACACTCACAGAAGAATTATATATATAAAGATATATGCATTATTAATAATATTAATATAATAGGTGAGTACTTACTAGGTTTTGTGTAACATCTAGTGAAAGGATCTCCAGTAAATCCAGATCTACAGCTACATATTGGATTGTGATTAAACACTCGGCAGTCCGCTTTCTGACCACATGTACCAGGACAAGGGTCTATGCATTTTTGGTTTATACAGGCTTTATCCGAAGGGCAATTTGAATTAAGAGTGCACTCTGGCTTGCATGAAGGTGGAATACCGACGTAATTTGGCAAGCAACTGCATACAGCTTGACCGTTGATTTCTTTACATACACTATTGGGTCCGCATGGACTCGGATGACAAACATTAATTCGAGTGACATCTTGAACTGTAAAAAAATAGCCATTTGATATGATTTTTATGAATAAATTAATGTTTATTTCACATTGAAAACTATATACTTACTAGGTACAGAATAACATCGTCTAATTGCATCTCCAGTAAATCCTGATAAACAAGTACATCTCGGAGCATGATTTATAGTTGTGCACTCAGCATTTATTCCACAGGTGCCCGGACAAGGATCCTGACATTTATTATTTAAACAAGCTCTATTTCCTGGACAGTCAGAGTCGCTTACACATTCGGGTCGGCATCCTTCATATGGATTTCCAAAATACCCTTCATTACAAACACATGATCCTACCCTATTTTGCTCTCTACATACAGCATTGGGCCCACAAGGAGAAGGTGTGCATGGTGTTGGAATTTCCGTATGCGAGACTAAACATTGGGTGAAGGGATCACCGCTATATCCTTGAGGGCAAACGCACATTGACGAGTGACTAACTACTCGACATTCTGCATGGGTTCCACATGCTTGTATACAGGGATCTTTACATTTTTGATTAACACAGGCCAGATGTACGGGACATTCGCTATTGCTAATACATTCTGGTTTACAGTATGGTGGTGTTCCTTTAAACTCTGGTAAACAAGTGCAAGATGGAGTTCCATTATTATCTTGACATAGTGAATTTGGGCCACATGGCGATGGTAGGCATGGGTTGACGATAACAGGAGTGCCTAAAATAGAAAAAATTGTAAATGAATAGATTCATTCATTAAGATAAATAAATATATTATATAATAAATAATTTTATAATCTCATATTTTTAACTTACTCTGAATGTATATACATTCCACAAAAGGATTCCCACTATATGTTGATGGACATGTGCACATAGGGTTATGATTTCTGACTTCACATGTAGCTCGAAGACCGCAAGCACCAATGCAAGGGTTGACGCACTTCTGCTGTATGCATGCTTGATTTTGTGCACATTCAGCATTCAAAACACATTCAGGACGACAAGCAGGAGGAATACCCAAATAAGATGGAAGACATGAGCATACAGCTTGATTATTGATCTGACGACACTGACTGTTAGGTCCACATACAGCAGTGGCGCATGGGTTTTCTGTTGGTTTTTCTATAAAATTTAAAAAATAAGTTATCAGTTAAGACTTATTACTTACATATTTTTATTTCCAAGAAGTAACTAGCTGTTATTTACCTCTCACAATATTACATATTACGAAAGCATTTCCTGTGTATCCGCTCTGACAACTACACATCGGAATATGATTTACTACTTGGCAAATAGCATTTTGTCCACACGCGCCAATACATGGATCTAAGCATTTTCTCTGAACACAAGTTTGATGTTGAGGGCAGTCCGTGCTAAATACACATTCCGGTCTACAATTAAAGTAAGGGTCACCTTGATACCCTTCGAGACACATACATTGTCCATTATTACATTCAGCATTTGGTCCGCAGCGGATGTTGGTGCATGCGTCTATAACACTTGGTTCGACTGAAACAAATTGAGTTTATAAAAATATTTACAAAATTAATGCATATATCACTTCATCGTGTATATTTGTCAAAGAAATTATGAAACTAATTGTATTTACACTATGTCAATGTATTATTATAATTTGTGTGCAATTGATATTTTTAAGTATAAGTATACTATTGCTATAAATATTGATAAGATTGGTTTATGGTATTGGTATTTGTTTATGTACTTTTGTGATTACTTACTCAGTAGGTAAAAAACAAAATTGAATGATAGAATAGTTATTCTGTTAATCTAAATCGTTACCCACCTTGTAATGGTTGTGGCTTACAAAGAGTGAAAGGATCGCCAATATCACCCTCTTTGCAAGAGCATATCGGAATGTGGTTTTGAACACTACACAGGGCAGATACACCGCAGGAGCCTGGGCATGGGTCTTGACATTTAGAATTAATACATGCACGGTCACTGGAGCAATCAGAATGAATTGTACATTCTGGTCTACAGTTGGGTGGATGGCCGATGAATGTTGGTAAGCAAGAACAAGAAGGTGTACTCCCGATTTCCCTGCATTCTGAATTTGGACCACAAGGAGATGGGTAGCATGGATTTATTATAGCCGGAGATTGTTCAACTGAAACAATAAAGAACGATGAAGATAAATGACGTTACGATTTAATAATGTAATGTTACATTAAAATTTTCATAAGTTGATTATTTTAAATTAATACGTGAAGAAGAAAAAACCGTATCTCTTTTAAGCACATTTTGGTAATGAAAAACTGCGAGATTTAGTGTAGGTAATAAAGCAGTGTTCAAAGAACTCTTTTACAGAATAACTTAAAAGATTAAATTTCGGTCAGTAAGCGACCACTAGAATGATACAGACGCCTGACTAAACTGTAAACAAGATTATGATTACAATTCTAACTGCAAGTTACTATAATATAAGCCGCTTTTGTAAGAATGAACAATATTATAATTTGAGTTTCAATGTGTTTGAGTTAAAAACTTACTTCTGATTAAGGTGCAAATTGTAAACGGATCTCCAGTATAAGATGATTTACATGAGCATATCGGACTATGATTTATTATTTTACAGTCTGCATTGAGTCCGCAAGGCTTGGGGCATGGGTTCATACACTTTTTGTTGACACAGGCCTTATCGTGAGGACATTCAGAACTAACTACACATTCAGGACGGCAGTTCGGAGGCGATCCTACATATTCAACGAGGCATGAACACACAGCCTGGTTATTTACTGCTTTACATTGGCTATTTGGGCCACAGGGCGATGGATAACACACGTCCAAAGGATCAGGCAATAATTGTGGTTCTGAAAGAATAAAACCAAATTAACATTTATAAAAGAAAAAACAGATCAATATGTTCACATGAAACAGATGTTGAGTAGACAAATAGTTTTTCTCTACTAATTATTCAGGACTTCTTTTGTTTCTGGAGAACAATGGATGCAAAGTCCACTGTAAGTATATCCTAACTAAAATACATTTATTATAATAACAAAGTATTTGGATTTTGCTGTCATAGTACATAAAGGACATTGTTCAGCGTCCATACATAGTTAGCCTAAGAACCAACAATCATGAAATGTTATTGTCTAGGTTCAAAATCGTAAGTAAATGACTGTAAAAACAAAGATTATTGACGGACACTTCTGAGAACTTAAATTATTAGGAAAAATAAACATTTTTTGAGGTTATGTTTAATATTCAATGAAACATAGGTCAACCTATGAATTTAGTATAAACTCAGTATGAAGTGAATTAATATTACAACTAATTCATTTTACTCGGTGCGATTTTAAAGAATAACTATTAGAAAAAACTTGGTTAGGTACCAGGAATCATGAATAAAATAAAAACTGTAGTTATGCTTCTTATTTATTGACTATTTTCCACATAATTGTATCATATTGTTTATTGTATTTATTTGTATATCACATGTAGGTATATTGTGTAAATATGTAGCGTGAATGTGTATCAGGTGTTCTTGAATAATTTGGCAGTATGATCCTCTCAGGATGTTGTGGCACAGGTTCACTAGCACTTGGTAATAAGGGCTCTGCTCTTTGGTAACATCGATGGCATATTAGATATCCGAAATAGTTAAATTAAAGGAAAAACAATCGCAAATAAACACACACTACTCTTTGGAATGCACGAATGCCACAGATTACTAAGAATGCAAACTGCATGCACCACAACCACAGAGTAACGAGTTTTATGCCGGCCCTTCACTTGACAACAGTTTGTCCTTGTCATGCAAGGTAGTTTTCCAATTACAGCTCAAGAGCGCATTATGCGGCATAATGCTTATCGTTGAATGTTTCAACTACAGCAACGCTTCGCACAATCGAGCACTCTCAAAAGTAATGTTTTCGTGTGATTCGTGCAATCGTACCAACTCAGTGACAGAAAATTAAATTAACAAGTATTTTTTCTTTAAGTTGGCATTGATCGAAATGTTTTATTTATAAATTATCGTTAGTAATATTATTTATGTTGAAAAATTTTGAAAGCTTTCGTTTCATTGTAGTTTTTTTTAATAATCAAAGTTAATTCAAACTGTGTTTAAAAAAAATATAAGTATGTATAAAGGTACAAACATTGACTTTATTTTCAACACTGAACTTAGCGCACTCTGCTGGTGCATTTGAAAACTAATTCACGTTCCAATTAAGCATCAGCATAATTTGGCATTGAGCGCCACTGTGTCGCATTATGCTCTGTAATTGGAAAACTACCTTAATAAGGAATGAAAAGAACAGACTGATGTAATGTTTTAAAATAGCAAATACGAATAGCCAAGTGAAGTGCCGGCATTAGGAAGAAAGAGTGTTTTGTTTGCAGCGCTGCCATAGATTATACACATAAAATGGTATTTATTGTCTCAGATTATTTTGAACTTTTTAATTTAGCTTACTTAACTGGAAGTGTCCGTCACAATCTAAATACTGATAATTATCGCAAAAAATATACTAAGAATTATCATAAATGCCAAATTGGTGTTGGTTCTTAGGCCAATTTTAACATTGTCCTTTTATATGTTTCTTTAAACGAATTATTCAGCATAACACAAGCTTCTTAAAAAAAAGTTTTCAATAATTACTGACCTTGGTAAACGCAGTATCTAAAAGGATCTCCGGTAAAACCTTGTATACAAGTACACAAAGGTGCATGGTTAACGACTTGACATGTGGCACCAACGCCACAACTACCAGGGCATGGGTCAACACATTTATTTTTCAAACATGCTCTGTTTGATTGACAATCTGTGTTTACTACGCATTCTGGTCTGCAACCTTCGTATGGATTACCGAGGTACCCTTCAATGCACATACATGATCCAGCATTATTTCGTTCCTTGCATTCAGCATTAACACCACAAGGGGACGGTGAACAAGGGCTCAGATTTACATCAGTCTGCAATGGTTCAGGTGTGCACTGGACGAAAGGATCGCCAATAAAACCTTGCGGGCATAAACATATTGGCGAGTGGCTTACTACCCTGCATTCTGCATTCACAGCACAGGTGCCTTCGCAGGGATTGGTACACTTATTGTAAACGCAAGATTGTTGTAATGAACATTCTTCATTGCTTGTACATTCAGGTCTGCAGTAAGGTGGTTGCCCGTGGAAATTGATCAAACATGTACATGCTGGGGCACCGTTTACTTCCTTACATTCAGAATTAGGTCCACATGGTGAAGGTGTACAAGGGTTTACTGGTTCTGGTATTTTATCAGCTGCAATTAACAGTGAGAACATTACATATTTAAAAATGCTCAAATGACTCTTATGTTGTCTTATTGATGTAAATTCTTATTCAAGTTTTTATGCCATTAATTCAAGTTTTATTTTTCTAAATATATGTACTCATAGTTAAAATCACTGCAGTTTTAATACTTAAGAAACAAGACAGTCATCAATGAAGACAAAAGCAGAAAAATGAGGAGCTGGAGAGTGAAAGAATAAAATAGAATTCCTTACTATCTTTCCCGTGTAGATAAAAAAAGTTTGTTAACTATTGAGATGATAACGGATAGACGGACAACTTTTGAAATTGAAAACAAAATTAAGTCTAAGAGCCTGCGCTACGTTAAGCAGGTCACGGAGCGGGTGTCCGCTCCACGTGCAGTATTTATGTCCTTTCATAGAGACCCGCTTCACGTAACCCTACTCTATGAAAGCACATAGAACAAACACGCAGAGCGGACGCCCACTTCTTGCTCCGGCTTAACGAAGCGCAGGCTCTTATTCCATATTTTTTGAATTCAATTCCCAGACATCTGTCTGGGATAAAGTGATATAGTGCTAAATAGGATTTGAATTTGCTTTGAATTAAGAATTTCGGTGCAAATGCTATATGTGATGTTGTAAAAGCATGTAGGTATACGACGAGGGGAGGGGTTATTATTTTGATAATAGATTATCTGAGTTAAATATTCATCTTAAAACCATTTTTAAATATATACATACCAATCTTTAAACATCTTGTAAAAGGATCCCCGGTGAACGACGTTGGGCAAGTACATATAGGGTTATGGTTGACCACTTTGCATTCCGCATTATAGCCACAGCTGCCCAGACATGGATTAACACACCGCTGATTGCTACAAGCTTCGCTTAATGGACATTCAGCGCTTATTGTACATTCTGGCCGACAATTTGGTGGAGCTCCGATGTTATTAGGCGCGCAGGAACACACAGCCTGACCATTTCCTTCCTTACATTGGCTGTTGGGGCCACATGGAGATGGTTGGCAAGGATTTGCAGGTACAGTTTCTGAAATATAAAAACCGTGAAACTGACGGACGATATATTTTAACCAATGTAGGGGAATTGTATAGGGAAGTATTTCTATTCATACCTATTAAAGGACGACATTCAAAAAAGGCATTGCCAGCCATGCGTTCTGGACAAGAACACATCGGTATGTGATTGTAAACATTACAAAGTGCATTCTGCGCACACGGCCCTGGACAAGGATTGACACATTTATTCTTTATACATGCTTTATCATTATTACACTCAGAACTTTGTACACATTCAGGTCGACATCCGAAATAGGGGTCTCCTTGGAATTCCGGAAGGCATGTGCATTTTCCATTGAAACATTCAGCATTAGCTCCGCATGGTGAAGGATTACATGGATCATCTTGTTCTGCAAAAATAAATTGAATTGTGATGGCTGAAATTTCTTAATTCGGCAACGGGGTATATCTTTCAATATACATATATGCTATTAAACATACCAATATGTGGGATGGGAGTGCACTGTGTAAATGCATTGCCGGTGTAACCCTCGAAGCATGTGCAGACTGATAAATGTTTAAATACTTGACAATTTGCATTAATTCCACATGATCCAGGACAAGGATCTTTGCATTTCTGATTTATACATGCCAAATTACTTGCACAATCTTCATTAATGGAGCACTCAGGTCGACAGTTTGGCGGGCTACCTTCATAATTGGGTTGACAAGAACATGACGGATATCCATTTAAATTTCGGCATAATGAATTGGGTCCACATGGTGAAGGTGTGCAGGGATCTCTCTCAATAGCAGGTACAACAACTGGAGCTTAAAAATTCAGAAATATATGTACATACAGAAAAGGTGTGATATACTCTTTAATAAAATAGAAAAGTATTAGTTGGGTTGGTACCTGTTATAACAAAACATCTTGTGAATGGATCTCCGGTATATTTATTTTGACAAGTACAAATAGGACTGTGGTTGATAACTCTACAGTCTGCATTTTGACCGCATGGTCCAGGACAAGGGGTTATACATTTTAGATTTTTACAGGCCTTGTCTGATGGACATTCTGCACTGACAACACATTCTGGTCTACAATTAGGTGGAGATCCCTTATATTCTGGTAAACAGGAGCATACACTCAGTCCATTTGATATGCGACATTGACTGTTAGGACCACACGGTGACGGTTGACACGGATTATTTTGTTCTAATTCCACACCTATAAAAACAATATTTATTTAAGTTACTTCACATTATTTACATTACCTAAAGAAAGACCATGATATTTTTTACTGATTACTGTACTTACTTTGCCTAACGCATTGCCTGAAGGGATCTCCGCTGAATCCAAATCTACAGGTACACATGGGCGAATGATTGACTACTTGACACTCTGCATTGGCAGCACATGTACCCGGGCAAGGATCAATACATTTATTTCGAACACATGCTTTATTACTGGAACAGTCAGAATTTCCTAAACATTCCGGACGACAACCTTCATAAGGATTTCCAAAGTAACCTTTTACACAAATACATGCTCCAGCTCCAGCTCTCTCTTCGCATTCAGCATTAGGTCCACAGGGTGATGGCGAACAAGGAGAAATCACTTCAGTGTGTATTATATCATATGCAACACATTGTACAGAAGCATCACCAGTTAACCCTTCCGGACAGATGCAAACAGGAGTGTGGCTAACTACTCGACACTCTGCATTTCTACCACAAGCCTGTGCGCAGGGATCTTGACATTTTTTGTTTACACAAGCCGAATGAAGTGCGCATTCAGTATTAGCAATACATTCCGGTCGACAGTTTGGCGGGGAGCCAATGAAATCAGGCATGCATTGACATGATGGAATTTCACCACCACTTAATTCACACAAAGAATTTGGCCCGCATGGTGAAGGCTGGCAAGGATTTCCCGGTGTTACAACAGCAGAAACTGCAATACAGTTTAATGTAAGTAGATATTATACAAAACAAATTTATTTAATTTCATAGAGTGAAAACTTACTGGCATTAATGCATCGAGTGAATGGATCTCCAGACATGCTGGAAGGACAAGAACAAAGTGGGTTATGTTTAATAACTTGACATAACGCGTTTACTCCACAAGTTCCTTTGCATGGATTAATACATTTTTGATTGCTACATGCTTTGTCAAGGGGACAGTCAGAACTTGCAACACATTCGGGTCGACAGGCAGGTGGTGCTCCGCGATATCCCGCAAGGCACGAGCAAACAGCTTGCTTGTTAAATTCCCTACATTGACTGTGAGGGCCACATGGACTAGGTTGACAAGGATTGCCTGGAACTATATCTGAAAAAGATGAATAACAGTTCTATATTAGAATCTACATCACTAAATAGTATAAAGCAAAGTCTCTTCCGTCTGTGTCTGTCCCTATGTATGCTTAGATCTTTAAGACTACGCAACGGATTTTAGATGATGCGGTTTTTAATAGATAGCGTGATTCAAGAGGAAGATTTATATGTATAATACATGCATAATATAGTAGAGAAACACTGATAATTTTAGAGGGTTTTAATGTAAGGTCTTAAATAAACACATTTTGCGCTTACATTGCAATCGCTGCCTGAACCCTACGAGATAGATCAAAATAGTGTACTATAGTATCGTACACCTTAAAAAGGTCTATAAAAAAGTCCGCGATGGTATATGTCCATCTCTTAGGAATAACCCACAATAAACATTTTTTATCCTTTACTTTTTAAGAGAAATAATGGCTTATTTACGAAGCGATTTTAAGCAATACATCATCAATCCTTATCCAATGAAGGACCTTAAATACATTGTGCATTAAATATAGATCAATATGTCCCTTTGCAGCTTGTAATTTAAATTAGTATTTTAGAAGATATTCCAGATTTAAGATGCAGGGACATAGCGGTTACCCGGGGCCGGCGGCGCGTGCCTATAGTAATTGACGACCTCCGTGGCCGAGTGGTTTGTACGCCGGGTTTCATGGTGTCGCCGAGTCGAGAGGTCCCGGGTTCAAATCCCGGTGGGGGCAGATGTTTGTGTGATGAATACGAGCATTTGTACTCCAGTCATGGATGTTTAATATGTATTTCTATATAAATATATATGTACAGTATATGTATTCTATCCGTTATCCTAGCATCCGATAACACAAGCCTTACAGTGCTTACTTTGGGGCTAGGCTAATTGGTATGCGTGTTGGAAATAAAAAAAAAATATATATAAATAAAGTCATTGTTTATAATACAAGCCTGAGAACAAAAACTATAGTCTATACTACAGCTCTATACCGAAGCGAAGCGAGGGCGGGCCACTAGTATATATATATAAACGTAATGTCGAAAAGTATGTGTGCGCATCACTTCCGAACGACTGAACCAAATTGGATAATTCTTTTTTTATTGTGTTCGTTATTGTTAGGACAGGGTTTGTATAAAAGCAAATTTTCAAAAAGTCACGGAAAAAAAATAGTGCCAGAAATATTTTTAAAATAAAGTTTGTTATTCCGCCATCTTCTGCAATTGACAAGTCAAGTTACGTCACGCGTGAGTAAGCTGAGCTTATTTGTTTGGAATTCACTCCAAATCAGTGATTATAAAGAAATGTAACAAAAATTGCAGGAAAAATATGCTTATGTTATGACAAGAAAACAGGAGGAAAAATATATGATAAGAATAAATATCATAGTTTAAATTCAACGTGACTTTTTAATCTTAATTACTGCATTTGGTTTTGTTTTCCAAAAATAAAACTACTTAATTTCCTTGTAAGTCATAAGGGTCGACTATGGGATTGACTGTGTTTGAAGAATATTGGGCAAAGACCCGAAAATCAATCTTAACCAGTTTTAAATATGCTAAAGTAACCTTCGACGATCACACGGCTCCGTCGACTCACACGGGGAATATGGACGTGAATTTTCCTTCTAACATACAAATTTTTACTCCCTTTACTTCAGATGAGAACACTACTAAGACGGCCTTCTCGATAAATCACCACGCATAATTATTGTTTGATGATTCGTCAGAACGCCAATAACTTCCTATTTGATTTCGTTTCGTCGCTTGCGTCAAAAGGGAAACGGAACACCTAACTTTAATTCGGTTGAACCAAGCTAAACTGTGTTCGAAGAGTATAATTAAGCGTTGCAATTTACACCGAAGGAGATGCAGTTAGTGGTGGTCTATTGAAAATTCTCCCACGGACGTATGCACAGTGGTAGTCTACGTCATTTTGAACATGAGCAAGATGTAATGACATAAATGTTCGTCGTTACGGTAGGTGGATTAGATATATTAATTGCTTCGCGGCTTATTATTTCTAAGATGGAATCGGTAGAATTTTGTTTTTTTTTTATTATCATTGAATTTGGCCACTATTCATGACAAATCCTGACATTGGGGTAGCAGTTGCAACTTCTGGAATATCGGCCATATTATTAAAAAAAAATAGAGATATAAAGGTGTTTTGGGGGGCGGAATGACTTGAATGTCTAAAGATTTCCACCAAACAGGGACAGTTATTCCAAGATCTACTACTGCCAATAAAAATTAAGGGCTCGCCTATAGGTATCAATCAATATGTAGAGAATGAATTTTACAGCTGGCAGTAAATATGTAAGTTACATTGCTGAATGATTTATTTAAAGTAAGGCGTAATCGATCTCTAATATAATTCAGAAATATGGTGACAGATAACCAACCTATCGCCTACAATAGTTTACGAAGTAGTTAGGCCCTGTTGGGAGAATTTTGCCATCTGCTTAAGAAAATGAGCAGCAGCCTCATTCTATGTTTTCTTATGCTTCCAGACCGGCCGGCATACACGACAATTAACAATTAAGGCAGAAAATATATTTTCGAAAATAAATAAATATTATCACTAACTTAGCTATTAAAAAGACTAATAATTCATTAGTGCCTTCGCCCAGATTGCGAAAGGTGCGATCCGGGTTCAAATTATGTCTGGAACCGGAACTCAGTTGATTTTTTCTAGTAAATTTTTCTTTAGATTTATAAATCTATCAATTTAATGCTTTAAAAATATCAACGTAATAAGCTATATTTCATCTAAATCCGTTCAACGTTATTGCGCGTTTGAGTGAAAAACCTCCAATCATAAAAACTATAACATGGGTTTAGTAGGATACTGGTTTGATTATAAAGTAAGTAAAGAGACGTTCTTACCAAACGGTCGGCATTCTATGAACGCGTTCCCTGTTGTTTTTGGAGAACAAGTGCAGACAGCCATGTGATTGACAACTCCACATATAGCATTTGTGCCGCAAGTCTGGTTACAAGGATTGATGCAGTGGTTCTTGACACACGCTTTGTTCATTGGGCATTCAGAGCTGATAGTACATTCAGGATTACATCCAAAATATGGATCGCCGCTGTAGTCCGGCAAGCAACTACAAACACCATCATTACATAATGCGTTTGGACCACATGGACTTGGGTTACACGGGTCCGCAGCAGCAATATCTATTAACAAAAATGTTTTTGTTAATTTTAAAATAGGTAGGTAGATCAGATTTATGATTCTTAGAAGTAGGTACAAATTATATTAAAATAAAGAATTTTATTGATATTACCTGGCGGTGGTTTTATTATACACCTATCAAATGGATTTCCAATATATCCGTCTCTGCACGTGCAAATTGAAATATGATTTTGTACTCTACAATTAGCGTTGTTACCACAAGATCCTGGACAAGGGTCAATGCATTTCTCATTGATGCAAGCTTTTTCATTCGGGCAATCTGTGTTTAGAGCACATTCAGGCCTGCAGTAGGGAGGGTTGCCGTTATATTGAGGCAAACAAGAGCAAGATGGTGTGCCACCAATGTCACGACATTGTGAAAAAGGTCCACATGGAGATGGTAAACAAGGATCTCTCTGACCAGCTACAACATCAGCTGCAAATAAAATATGTATATGTCAGAAATGTAACAAGGCATTTAAATGAAAATATAACCTTAAAAAAAAGACAATTCGCCCCACATAAGACAGCACCTTAATGCTCGGTAACGGACGTATGGATTTTTTGAGTTGCATAATTATTACTAAAGTTATTTACCTTGGTAGAAGTAGCAACGACTAAATGGATCACCAGTGTATTGTGAACGACAAGAGCATATAGGGCTGTGATTTATTACTTTGCACTCAGTATTTTGACCACAAACTCCTTCACATGGATTTTTACACTTTTTGTTAATACAAGCTTGCTGCTGATTACATTCAGAACTAACTACACATTCAGGTCGACAAGCTGGTGGTGTGCCTATAAAATCCGGCTGACATGTACATACAGCTTGATTATTAGATACTTTGCAGTTGCTATTTGGTCCACATGGTGATGGAGTACATGGGTTACTTTTTATAATAGGTTCATCTGAAAAATACAGTATCAAATGTAAGTGGCTGTAGTATATGATTGAAATCCGAAATTGTTTCAAAAAGTGTATCTGTACCTGTCAGTTTTTCATAACAATTTTGATATGGATTTCCTGTAAGTCCAGGCAAACAATCACATGTTGGAGTATGGTTGACGACATTACATTTTGCGTTGGACCCGCATATACTATTACAAGGATTTTGACATTTATTCTGAATACAAGCCAAGTTCGTAGAGCAGTCCGAATTAATAACGCATTCAGGACGACATCCCTCATATGGATTGCCTATATAGTCTGGCAAACAAACGCAGGCCCCGGCATCGCGGAGTTCTTTACAAACAGCGTTAGATCCACACGGTGACGGAGAGCAAGGTCTCATAATAACTTCCAACACTCTACATTCAATAAAAGCATCACCTGTGTAACCTGGTACACATAAACATTGTGGAGTATGACTTATAACTTTACATTCTGCATTTGTGCCACAGGATCCAGGGCAAGGGTCTTTGCATTTGCTGTTTATGCACGCCAAGTGGTTAGCACATTCCGAGTTAGCGATACATTCAGGTCGACAATTTGGTGGAATTCCTATGAATTCAGAGAAGCAAGCGCAAGAAGGAGAGCCACCGACCTCTTTGCATTCAGAGTTTGGACCACAAGGTGATGGTACACAAGGATTTACGTAAACAGATGGCTCAGTATCTGGAATAAAACCAATAATGAATTAAATCATGACCCATGACTATTAATGCACTTTCATTAACATCAACCATTGGCGTATAAGAACAAGTAGACTCACAATCGTGGTTAAAAAGTGTCGGCAGCTGAATTACGCACACGCGTCAATTGCGCGTAATTTGCAAACATTCTTCTTTCGACACCGTACTTTAATTACAACGTTATGCAATGAAAAACAGTTCGGTTAAAAACTGTGTAAATGACACCAGAACCACACTTAAAAAAAATGTGGGTGTCAGCTCCGACGCACGACTGGAGTTTACTCCTTAAGTTCGATAGTCTAAGCAGACGCAAAAAGAGTTTATTTAACTTAAAAAAGATTGATACTGTATGAAAGGGTAAATTAACAAATTGATGAAAATAATATACATATATAAATATATATATTTATTCATTTCATATACATTTATTATAACTAATCGACGAAATATTTTACATTAAACTTTTTACAATAGTCAATTTCAGATGTGCATAAATATATCATTAGGAATGTTGATAAATTATGTAATAATTATAATCAGACTATTAATTTTTTTTTAAATATTAATTAAATCAACATTGTCTGCATTATTAATTACAGTGACAAGTGGTTTATGGTAACTAAAATAAGACACATGGACGTTCGTAGATACGTGGTTCACGAATCTTGAAAATACCGCATCAATGGTTGTACCATACCTCGTTGTCCATTGCTCTATCAGAAACAATAACTAAATTCAGTTCCGATTTAAAAAAAATATTAATGTCAATCCGCCATCTTTGTTTGTCAAAGTTGCGCGACATAGGATGCGCACCAAAAACGTAACGAGGTCATTTATCGATAGATTTTACTCCTCACATTTTTTTCATACCGGGCCCCATAAATATGCAAATCGATTCTTAAGGAGTAAACTCCAAAAAACTTTAGTATCATATTTCAGGTAAGTGGCGTTTTAAACAAACAAAATACGCAAATATGATGGTGTTTTCTATCGTATTGCTAATTAATTACATATAAATAGCTACAACAAAATACTTTCACATGTTCGTGTCTGCTCTCTCGCACTGTCATGAAAGTCTGTCTGTCTCTCTCGTGTACAATTAACACGACAGACGTAACGTGTTCACTTGAACAAATGTTATCTGTATAAGTTGATATATCTGTGTAATACAGCGCCGCGCGGTAATTTTTTGATGTACCTACTTTTGTTAGGCTATTGGGAGTGTACTTGTTTTAATACGTCAATGAAGACAAATAAATAATTTTACCTTCAAGTATACATCTACTAAATGGATCCCCGCTATATCCTTTTGCACAGGAACATATAGGGTTATGGTTGATCACTTGACACAATGCTCCAGTTCCACAATTTCCTTTACATGGATCAATGCAACGTTGATTAGAGCAAGCTTTGTTTAATTGACATTCTGCACTTGTAATACATTCAGGTCTACATGTTGGTGGTGCACCTATATATTCAGGGAGACACGTGCAAATAGCTTGACCATTAATTTCACGACATTGACTGTTGGGCCCACATGGTGATGGACTGCATGGTGTCAGATTCTCTGCAATAGGGTTCTTTCGACATACAATGAATGCGTTTCCAAAATAACCTGTGCGGCATGTGCACATAGGCACATGATTATAAACGTTGCAAATTGCATCCACTCCGCATGTGCCAACACAAGGATCTACACATTTATTTCTTAAACAAGCTTTATTTTGAGGACAGTCTGTATTCATCAAACATTCGGGTCTACAACCAAAATACGGATCCCCTTGATATTCTGGCAAACATGTACATATACCTTGATTACATTCAGCATTTGCACCACAAGGAGATGGGTTGCAAGGATCTAATTCCGAGTATATATCTAAAAAGATAATAATGATGTATAAAAATACAATATGTATTATATTAAAATATTAGACATTTATCTGATGGATAAAATCCACCAAGGCTGTTTGCAAACCTTTGACGAAATATCGTGTTGAAAAGAGTTGGCAAAAAAACTCTCTACTCGAAGACTCTGGACGTCAGAATAAACTGGCTGTATAAATAAACACTAGCTGTCTGAATAAACTTACCGTCTTGCTCTGGAATTACGAAACATTGTGTGAATGGGTCTCCAGTATATTGTTCAATGCATGCACATTGTGCAATGTGATTCAAAATCGTACATTGAGCATTGATACCACAGGCTCCAGGGCAAGGATCTCTGCAACGCTCATTTATACAAGCTTGGATACTGGGACATTCTGAGTTAATTGTGCATTCTGGGCGACAATTCGGAGGGTTACCAATATAATTTTGCATGCAGCTGCAGGATGGTACACCATTAATGTTTCGGCATTCTGCATATAAACCACATGGAGAAGGCACGCAGGGATCTTTGGCGGGTTCATACAAAGGCTGGGATACTGTAAAAAAAGAAGCCCATTTGAATTAATAATTATGTAAAGTCATATTTCTAAGCAAAAGAAAAAAAGGAAATAAATGAAATAAGTATAATTAATTTAAGTTTAAGAAATCTAGAGCTTTGTATTATTATTGTACTGAAATGAGAAGTAAAAATTACCCATCATTGGATAGCATCTGGTAAATGGATTTCCAGTTAATCCTTGTTTGCAAACGCAAATCGGGCTATGGTTTATTACATTACAGTTTGCTTGCTGTCCACATGCTCCAATGCAAGGATTCTCACATTTCTGGTTGACACAAGCCAAATTGGATGGACATTCAGAGCTTACAACACATTCGGGTCGGCAGTTTGGCGGAGAGCCGATAAAGTTTACTAGACAAGAACAAACTGCTTGACTATTAATTTCTTTGCACTGGCTGTTGGCTCCGCATGGTGATGGATTGCATGGATTTGTTTCAAGAATTACAGCTGTAAAAAAAAGGAAAAATTAATAAACCTAGAGAAGTAGATAGCAAAGTGATTATAAAAACCTTAGAAACATTGCATTTTTATTATTTTAGTCGTTTACAAGTAGAAAAAGTTAACAACATAAAAGTGGTAGTCCACCACTAATAATTTTGATCATGATAAATAAGAGAAACTAAAGAGTATTGAAATTGATCTATCAATATATGAGTGATTCGCTTTGGTGACACCTATGGTTAAGTTCTTCAGCTGTACGTAGGATACATATGATATATAATATAATAAAAGGAACTACTTACGTTCTTGTACAATAGTACAGAAGCTAAAAGGATTTCCAGTGTATCCAGGTTGGCAAACACAGACAGGCATGTGATTGCTCACATGACAGATTGCATTTTGTCCACAAGTTCCCGGGCAGGGATCCACACATTTCATTCTTGAACAGGCTTTATTAAGTTGGCAATCAGAGTTTACAATACATTCTGGTCTGCATCCTTCATAGGGATTTCCTAAGTAACCATCAATGCATTGACACGCCCCGACACCATTTTGTTCTTTGCAAATTGCGTTCGTTCCGCAAGGGCTCGGACTACATGGAGTTAATATTTCAATTTGTTCTAATTGAGCATGGCAGTTTGAAAATGGATCACCAGTATAACCTAATTGACAAATACATAATGGTGCATGGCTTACTACTTTACATTCTGCGTTTGTACCACAGGTTCCAATGCAGGGATCAGAACATTTGTTATTCAAACATGCCAAATTATAATCACATTCGCTGTTACTAATACATTCTGGCCTACAATTTGGAGGGGCACCTTTGTAAGTAGGTAGACAAGCACATAGAGGTCCTTGATCTTTTATCCTGCAAACAGAATATGGCCCACAAGGTGATGGTTCACAAGGATTTACTCCAACTGTATCTTGTTCTGGAACTGAGTTAAAAACAAATTGTATTAAAAGTTATTCTGTGGTTTTAATTTCACAATTTTCATGCTTTGTTTTAAATCATACACCACTTACCTATGATACACTCTACAAAAGGATCACCTGTCAGGAATGGTGGACATGTACAAATTGGATTATGATTGATCACATCACATATCGCACCTGAGCCACATGCGCCGATACAAGGATTAACGCATTTCTGATTATTACATGCTTCTTTTAAAGGACATTCTAGACTAACTAAGCATTCCGGTCTGCAAGTAGGAGGGTTACCCAGATATCCAGGCACACATGAACACACGGCTTGACCATTTATTTGTCTGCATTGACTATTTGGACCACAAGGTGAGGGATTGCAAGGATTCTCCAGAGCAACTAAAACAGGATAAGTTTCTATTAGAATAATTCAGTTTATCATTTTTCACTGTGTTATGGAGATACTTCATATATTACCTGCTACTGGACGACATTCTATAAATGCATTGCCTGCCATTCCTTTTGGACACGTGCACATGGGAATATGATTTGTGACAATACAAAGGGCTTGTAATCCACATGTACCAATACAAGGATTCACGCATTTATTTTTTTGGCAGCCCATGTCAACAGGACAGTCGGAGTTGTGTACACATTCTGGCCTACACCCAAGATATGGATCTCCATGATATCCTTCTAAACATGTACATATGCCATTGGAACATGCAGTGTTAGGCCCACAAGGAGGGCTATAACAGAGTTCTACTGAAATGGTTGGTTTTGCTGAAATAAAATAAAATAATGATATTATACTCGTTAGATAGATAGGTAGATAAATCATTTCTTCCCATCAGTACAGGACACAAATTCAACTAAACAAATAGAACAATTAATTACTAAATATGTAACTGTGTGCCGTAACGACAGAAAAAGACAAAAACTCAGCGATTTCTTTGCTCTGAGAGCAAAGCACTGGTCGTTTATTAAGTGTCACTGTAATAATCGAAAATTATTAGCATACATGTAAAATACATACCTTGGATAGGTTTAACTATACATTCCCTGAATGGATCTCCTATAAATCCCTCCGGACATAAGCATACCGGAACATGATTATTTACAAAGCATTTTGCATAAATACCACATGATCCTTCACAAGGGTTTCGACATTTTTCAGCAACGCATGCTTGATCACTGGGACAGTCTGAGTGTACTACGCATTCAGCTCTACAGAAAGGTGGAGATCCAACGTATGAGGGCAAACATGAGCACGATGCTAAGCTATTGATATTCCGACATTCAGCATTTAATCCGCACGGTGATGGTAAACATGGATCTGTAGTTTCCGCGATACTTGGTGAAGTTTCTAAAAATTATACTTATTAAATTTAATAATTATGTTACCCGCTTAATATTCTGAGATAAATAAAAAGGACTAGACTTAGACTACAGACTTTTACCTAGCTAACAGAAAACATTGTTTTTTTAACCACAGGAACTTTAAATGATTTATATTTTAAATATACTTACGTAAAACTAATGTGCAAATCGTAAAGGGATTTCCAGAATATCCCTGTCGGCAAGTACAAACTGGGCTATGACGAATAACTGTACATTCTGTATTTTGTCCACAAGGTTTAGGACATGGATTCACACATCTTTGATTTACACAGGCTCGATCTGATCTACATTCCGAATTCACGATACACTCGGGTTTACAATTTGGTGGAGAGCCAATATAATTATGAAGGCATGAACAAACTGGTTGATTATTTACTTCTTTGCATATTGAGTTAGCCCCACATGGTGATGGGTTACAAACATTAATCAACATAATGTCTCTGTCTGCAAAATGAAATAAAAGGATTTACAATAATTAATAAAGTCATTAATATATATCTACATATAAATACTTTAGAAAACTCACCAGGCAGTTGAGAACACACAGACAGTGGATTTCCTGTATAGCCTGTTTTACAGTTGCATGTTGGTTTGTGATTAATAACGTAGCATTCTGCATTATATCCACATACTCCAGGGCATGGATTTTTACATTTATTTTGGACACAAGCTAACATTAAAGAACAGTCCGAATCAGCTAAGCATTCTGGCCTACAGCTTACATATGGATCCCCAAAATGATCAGGAAGACATGTGCACGACCCTGCATTCCCGAGAACTTTACATTCGGCGTTTGCCCCACAAGGCGAGGGCTCACATGGGTTAATGTATTCAACCTGGGATGGAGCTGAAATATTATTAAAATATATGAATCCACTTACCGATACACATGTCTTTCACCGTAGAAGCACCTTCTTGGCTCCGAAGCGTTAGTCGAAGCTTGCTCGGCTCGGCGTCGTTTAGTGACCTCCTTAATCCGGCGACAGCGTCACTATACTAGCGGCACTGTCCTAAAGCGGCCGTCACGTCGGACGTCCTAAGCTTACTGTAAGTGCTAGGTTATCTCCGCGTGCTCCGATCCAAGCAAAGGCATTAATCTCACATAAAAAGTTATTTCAATATGTTACGTCCCTTCTGGAAGCAGTTCAAAATTCTAAATGATTAAATGAGGTTTCATCTTCACCGTTCTGATCCGAAGGCTTATATTTAAAGCACTTATTAAACAAGAAAGTATCAGCGGAGTTACTTTCTAACCGAGCGTTGGGCATGGTCATCACTCAGTCGCAAAGTAAAACCACAAATACAGTCCCATTCATTTATACATTAGTAAACTGTGTGAGGCGTGACCATAGGTAAAAGACCTTTTTTATTTTATCTTATAAAAGCACTTCTAAAGCATGAATTATCTATCACGCTTTGCAAAGCAGGTTACAATGCATTTTCCAAATAAAATTTTACGATTTTATCAAACCTTCAAAAATATCTTATCACCTTACATATCATCAATTGTAATATGATGCTAATCTGTTAAGCTCATTTACAAGAGTAGAGTTTCAATATTAATTACACATTAGAAAGTTATATGCAGGCTTACCTTTAGGAATTGTACAACCCTGGAACGGATCACCTTCGAATCCTGGTTCGCAAGCGCAGGTAGCACGATGATCTACTACTGAACAGACCGCACTCGGTCCACATGCCTGTTCGCAGGGGTCTTTGCATGTTTGAGCAACACAAGCAAATTTTGCTGGACATTCAGCGCTTATCGTACATTCAGGTCGACAATTAGGTGGAGTGCCTATATAACTAGGCTGACAGCTGCATGCTGGTGTATCGCCTACTTTTTGGCAAATTGAGTTTGGCCCACATGGCGACGGCTGGCATGGATCAACAGACACAGGTGGTTCTGAAATTGTTTGTTAAGTAGATAAATTATGCAATAATATATTTTGATACATAGTAAACGACTGAGTAAACAATAGTTTACCTGGTGCAGAAAAACAGTATGTAAAGGGATCTCCAGTGAAACCTTCATTACATGTGCATATTGGTGAATGTGCGATGACTTGACATTTTGCTCCACGTCCACAAGCACCCTCACAGGGGTCTCGACAGCGACGGTCGATGCAAGCTAATTGCAATTGGCACTCTGAACTAACGAGGCATTCCGGACGACAAGAAGGCGGAGAACCGATGTGACCAGCACGACAGGAACAAGCAGCTGCACCATTGGCGCTTACTGTACACTCACTGTAAGGTCCACAGGGAGAAGGCGAGCAGGCTGATCGGATATCTATGGATAAAAAAATGCTTAAGTCAAAGTATTCATTGATAGTTTAAGATTTTTAGTTTGTTTGTAGGCAGTAAACAGAGTTCAAAAAAAAACTAAATTTGAATATCTCAATAGCATTTTAGTGAACGCTCTATGCTTACCAGTTTCTACAACTATATCACTACAAAATGAAAATGGATCGCCAGATGTCTTAGGTGGACATGTACAGGATGGAATATGGTTGTTAACGGTGCACCTAGCTCCAGTGCCACAAGCTCCTGGACAAGGGTCTACACATCTTCCACCTTGACAAGACCGGGTCGGTGAACATTCGCCATTCGTTGCACATTCATGACGACAGCCAGTATAGGGATCTCCAAAGAAGCTCGGTAAACACGAACAAATTCCAGCATCGCATAAGGCATTACTTCCACAAGGCGATGGATTACAAGGATCTTCAGGAACACTCGGTGTAACTGTTTAAAAATATTGTAATGTTAACAAATGCTGTATTTTTTTAAAGTTTAAAATGGTGTATTGTATAAATACTGTAAAATTAATCTAAAATATCATATATCTTACTGTTATATCGATATGCTTTTATCGATTGTTCTTTTGTTCTCTACATATTAATAATGTACCTACATAGTTAATCTCCTTGTTGGCATTTCTTTGTGATTAAAAAGTGAAATGTATTAAAACTTATATTCTTAAGTAGCTGTGCCTTGCGGTGTTAACCGCAGTTTATTAGGGATATTTTCCCGCAGTTAAACGTTGTCTATGTATTAATCAAGGGTGTCAGCTAGCTCCATACCAAATTTTATTAAAATCGCTCCAGCCGTTTCGACGTGAAGAAGTAACAAACATAGACACTCACAAACTTTCGCCTTTATAATATTAGTTAGTGTGATTACTTACTCATAATTTCGCTGCACTGTATGAACGGATCTCCAGAATAACCAGTAGGACAACTACAAATAGGTATATGATCATGAACTCGACATTCTGCTCTGAACCCACAAGAACCTTCACATGGATTTCTACATTTTTCTGCTATACATGCTTGATGTGATGGACAGTCTGTATTTACTAAACATTCGGGGCGACACTGCGGTGGAGTACCTATATAACCAACGTTGCAGGAACAGGAAGGGTTTCCATTAACTGGTCGACATTCACTATACGGTCCACAAGGGTTTGGTTGACACGGCTGTACTGGTATTTCGGGTACGTGTGATATTTCAGCACATCTTGAGAACGGATCTCCACTTGTGCCTATAGGACAACTGCACAGTGGGCTGTGATTGATGACTTGGCAATGTGCTCCAATTCCACATGTACCTCGACACGGATCTGCACATTTTAATTTATGACAAGCTCGGTCAGATGGACATTCGCTGCTGACTGTACATTCAGGTCTACAGTCAGGTGGTGCTCCTATATAATCAGATAAACATTCGCATGATGCTAAACCTGCATTTTCTCTGCAAATGCTGTTAGGTCCACAAGGAGATGGTTGACATGGCTTAATTTCCTCAATGATTTTATCTTTTCTACATTGTTCAAATGGATTTCCTGAATAGCCTTTTATACAAGCACATGATGGCACGTGATTTATAACTGTACATTCGGCATTAGTGCCACAAATTCCCGGACAGGGATCAGCACATTTGTTTTTAATACAAGCTTTGTCAGCCGGGCAGTCAGAACTAAGTACGCACTCCGGTCTACATCCTTCGTAAGGGTTTCCTTGATATCCATTTAAACATGAACAGGATCCTGCACCATCTCTTTGATTACAAATCGCATTGGCTCCACAAGGTGATGGATCACAAGGCTGTGTTACTATTTCTGAAAAGAAAAAACAAAAACATAATTTTTCTGATTAAATAAATTGCAATTACAACGAAGACCTGAATAAAAATACCTGCTATATGCACACACTGCGCGAAGGGATTGCCAGTAAATTTGTCTCTACAAATACATGAGACCATATGATTCACAATGATACAATCAGCATTTATTCCGCATGATCCTGGACACGGATCAATGCATTTATTCATTACACATGCCTGATTCGAGGGGCAATCTGAACTAATAACGCATTCTGGTCTGCAATTAGGTGGTTGCCCAACATAATTATCTACACATCTACAATTCGGTTTTCCATTTCTTTCAATGCATGCAGAATTTGGACCACATGGTGAAGGATTACATACATCTATAGGTTCAGGAGGAACTTGTTCAATATCATAACATTTCTTAAATGGATCACCGGTCTGTCCGGGATTACAACTACAAATCGGGCTATGGTTTATCACTTCGCATCTAGCTGAAAGACCACACGCATTGGTGCAAGGATTTATGCATTTTTGATTTACGCAAGCTTTAGTCGAAGTACATTCTGAACTGATAATACATTCAGGTCTACACATAGGTGGTGAGCCTTGAAAACCTTCTATGCAAGCACATACTGCGGTGTTATTATGGGCTCTACATATGCTGTTCGGCCCACACTGCGAGGGATGACAAGGATCTTTCGGAACTTGTTTGACTTCTTTAATAGGTTGACAATATGTGAATGGATTTCCAGTATATCCTGTCATACAAGAACATGTTGGAATATGATTTATTACATCACATTTAGAATTTTGACCGCATGCACCAGGGCACGGATCTCGACATTTGTTTCTAAAACAAGCTTTATCTCTCGGACATTCTTGACTTCCTGTGCATTCTGGACGACATGATTCATAAGGATTTCCACTATAATCAGTCAAACAAGTGCACAATCCGTTATCACATTGTGCATTTGCACCACAAGGCGAAGGATTACATGGATCCGATGGGGTAGCGGTTGTTGGAGCTGTAAATAAATGAGTATGTATAATTTTAGGTTACGTATAAAATATTAATTACAATAATTACACTCAATCTTAGTAACAATAATTATTAAAGTTCATTGGAATGAGTATTGAACAAGAAAAAGTACCTTCAGATATTCTTATGCATCTTGTGAATGGATCACCAGTATGACCATCATTGCATATACAGACGGCTACATGATTTAAAACATGACAGTTAGCGTCTACGCCGCATGATCCTGGACATGGGTCATCACATTTTTGCCGTAAACATGCTAGCGAAGCTGGACATTCAGAATTAATAGTACATTCCGGTCGACAAGAAGGTGGTGATCCGATATACCCAGGTAAACATGAACATGCAGGTCCGGTTGCTAATAATTGACAACGAGAATGCGGGCCACACGGTGATGGCGTACATGATGGTGGTCGTTCTGTTACTTGTGGAATAGCTGGAATGTAAATATTGGGTGTAAATATTTCATTCTAATAAGTACATATTGCTTCAATCAACAATTCCATAGCTAACGGGTTGCATACAAAATCAAAGGTAAAAACTGTCCGCGTATGTTTAAACTTATGCATGTGTTATGCACTTATGTGTGTGTGTATAATATAAATATAGATGGAGCTAAACAAGTTTCACTTCAGTGGTGGTTAGCACACTCGTTAATTCTGATAAAAAGTCGTATGTGCGAAATAGCATTTTGTTATTTGTAACCTTATTCCTTTGTGAGATAGTTAACCCAACTTAAACTGTTTTAAACATTTTCATTGTTCATTGGGAATCGAATATATATATATATACTAGTACATATTTTATTTAATAGCTATAAGAGAAAGAGAGAAAGAAAATGTGCGCACGCATTGCTTTCTCCTGCTTATATCCCACTCAACTCCCGTTCGCCTCGCCCGATCACACTTTTCGTAACGCGTTCGCCAGCTTACTCCCTAAGTCAAGGGTGCGTAAAGAAGTTTCACTTCAAAAACAAACTCTTCTTCCTTTTATAAATTATATCTGATACTTGGAGAAAATCGATAAAAAAAAACGTGAAAGCAACATTATGACCCACAAAATAAAATATTTTTACCAGTCATAGGCCAGCGAGTTACTTCTTTTGTATCAACCGAACTAATTTAAAATAAGATTTCACGCCTCAAGTGAGACTATATTTACCGAGACGGATTCGATTTTACGCGCTGACTCTTTATTGTCGATCGAAGACATAATCTAATAATACCACGACTTTACTCACGGTAACACTGTGTAAACGGATCTCCAGTCATTCCGGCAGGACAAGTACATATTGGATTGTGGTTCTTGACTAAACAGTGGGCTCTGAGTCCGCACGTGTTTGGACAAGGATTGTCACATTTTTGATTAATGCAGGCTTTGGAAGTGTCACATTCGCTATTGACAACACATTCGGGCCTGCATGATGGTGGTAATCCCACATAATTTGGTAGACAAGAACATACTGGCTGCATATTAATTTGCTGACACAAACTGTTTGGTCCACAAGGGTTAGGTTCACAGGGGAACTGGGGTGGTGAAGCTGCAAATAAAAAAAAATAAAGTATTATAGGTTACCCTGTACCAATTATCAATATGCATACCTACTACTGGTTTTTAGAATTAATTTCACTGTCATAATCCTTTTATATCAATTTTGAAAATAGTGAAGAATACTTTCATGTCATCTTATCGCCGACCAAAACATATCAAGCTTTTCCGTGCTTCAAAAATTTTTGAACATGACCTATTAAAGTATTTTGTTACTTACGTTGTAATACTATTTGCTTGCATTCAAAGAAGGGATCACCAGAATAACCTTTAGGACAGCTACAGATAGGGATATGATTTTCGACGATACATAATGCCATTTGACCACAAGTTCTGGGACAGGGATCGATACATTTGAATCGAATGCATTCTAAATTCGGTGTACAGTCGTCGTTATTTTCACATTCTCTGCGGCAGCCTTGAGGACTGTATGGAGCACCTTCGTAACCCTCAGAACATACGCAGGCACCGGCTCCGTTATGTTCACGGCAAACAGCATTAGGCCCACATGGAGATGGCGAACATGGGCTACTAGTTGGTGTTACTTCAGTTACTAAAAATCAATTGGCACTTGTAAAGAATGGCATCAAGCAAACTAAGAAACAATTTTCCTTATTAGTTATCACATTTAAAAAACAAAAAGTAGAATCTAAATACCTGAAAAATCTCTTTCAATGCATCTTGATGCTGCATCTCCCTCAAATCCTTGTTGACAGCTGCACACAGGCTTGTGATAAACAGAAACACAAAGTGCATTTAATCCGCAAGCGCCTTGACATGGATCTTTACAACGTTCGTTAATACAAGCCGCGTTGCTGGGACATTCTGCATCTATAGTACATTCTGGTCGACAATTTGGTACTCTTCCTATGTAATTAGGTAAACAGGAACATGCAGCTTGATCACCAATTACACGACACTCAGAGTTAGGTCCACATGGTGAAGGTGAACAAGGCTTTGGATTTAGTACTTTTGCTGTAATATGAAATAAAAGAATATTTTAATAATTCATCTAATGGTATTTAAAAGTGGGTCCTCTTTTATTGGTTTACGACCTCGTAGCGCGAATGGTATGTACGCCGGGTTTTAAAGTGCCCCCTTCTTAGAGGTTCCGGGTTCGAATGCCGGTAGGTCATATATTTGTATGATGAATTCGATCATTTGTACCTATATATATTCCCTGTTTTATTATTACTTTGTAAGCGCTAGGCTAATTTGTTTGTGTTAGAAATATTTATTGCTTTAAGTGGTGTTCATAAATGACGTGGAGCAGTGTTTGAGAGTTTTACATCCTTAAGTTTCGAATGATATAACAATCTTAGCACCTATGACGCGTTACGTGTGACACAGGAATTTTTGGTGCGGCCTATTAATTAATAGGGAATATGCATGTAATTCCAACAAGGCTCATTTTATTTTTATATAAACTCTATTACTTTTAAGTTGTCCCTCCATCAACATTTGTTTTCGAGCAAGAAATTAACGATATAAAGGTGCGAAAAAGTTGTGGGAAATTCCAATATTTGAAACGCGACTAGAACAATTGTAACGTAAAAATATATACCTAACAACAAACAAACGTGATGTTCACAAGATATGCCAATGTCAACAAGATTATATCGCGAGTGCGTAGATGAAAATGCCGCGTTCCACCTAGACACTGTGTGCAACTGTTCACTATTATTGATGACATTTAAATGATTACCAAAAATTTATCAAAAAATGTCTATTTTATCTACTTAGTGTCATGATCACTCGTGCAATCATTCAGCTATTAATACTTTTAAAATGTAGTATTGTCACCTAAAGTCAGAAGCGAAATGTGGAGTTGTATGACTATAAGCTAAAACACATAAGCTTTAACGGGAAACAGTTTCGAGTCCTAGGCGTGTTTCACAATACTAAATACTTTTCGATACGCATATTAACAATGTGATTACGAATAGCTATAGAGCCCTTGAATATATAATTCGTAACTCCAGGCATATTTTTCAAGCCAATAAATTAATAGTTATAGGTACTTTTGTCAGAAGTCATTTGAAGTATGCATCTCAGGTCAGAAACACTAGATATTTGTATAACTCGCATTTAAGGCATCCAAAACACGTTCGGTAATCGTATTAAGAAATGATATGGTTAGAATCGTTACGAAAAACTGCAGAAAACATCATATTATCCTACTAGAGGCGCGTGGCGAAATTGCGGATTTATATGAAGCATTATGACCGCTTCTGGGGCTGTTGGCTGTTCGGAATTCTTAGCAAAGATCTGGTTTGAAATTACTCCTAAGCCTCTTAGGATTAATCCTCTTACATGCATCTATGCGTAATTCCTTGATAGTCAAAGAATGCGACTGTTAAAACCCGTTTGCAGTACAAGCTACTCGACTAAAGAGGTCATCTTTTCTTCTCGTTTATCGTATTTTTGTGTACGATAACAAATATACCAACAACACATTAATTTAACAATTTTTTGTATTACTTTAAATATTTTTAGAAGCTTACTTTCTTCAGGGTCACATTTAGTAAAGGGATCGCCTGTGAATCCTGGAGAACAACTGCAGATGGGGTTGTGAGTTATAACTTGACAACGTGCATTAAGCCCGCAAGTATTTGGACATGGGTCTATGCATTTATTATTCACACATGCCTTATCTTGTGGACATTCTGAACTCACAATACATTCTGGTCGGCAAGTTGGAGGTGTCCCGACGAAACCAACAATACAAGAACATACACTGTGTCCATTGATAACGCGACATTGGCTGTTAGGGCCACATGGGGATGGTTGACATGGGTTTAAGGGTTTATCTGTAATAACTGAAAAATAAAATTATTTATTATTATTATATATTCTATATATTAATTTATAATTATTAAAAAAATGTATTATTTAAAATTTAAGTTAACTGATTAAATAAAAAAAAGTACTAGAGGAATAACTCACTTTCTATATCACATCTGACTAACGGATTCCCAGAATATCCATTAAGGCAAGTACAAACTGGGGAATGATTCACTGTTCTACATTCAGCATTTATTCCGCAAGCACCTGGACAGGGATCTTTACATTTATTGTTTGAACAAGCTTTATTTCTATCACAATCAGAATTGGATACACATTCAGGCCGACAACCTGAATAAGGATCGCCAAAATATTCTGGTAAACATTTACACGAACCAATTCCATTTCGTTCCTTACATATTGCATTTGCACCACATGGTGATGGATTACATGGATTTTGTGGAGGTGGCGATTCATCTGAAAAATAAATAATTAAATATTATTTAATGAAATATCATTTAAGATTTTCTAAAAACTGATATGTACTTATATCAGTATAAAAACTTACATTCTATTTCTGTGCATCCGCTGAAAGGGTCACCAGTATACCCTGGTATACAATCGCAAAGAGCTACATGATTTGCTACAGAACACTCAGCATTGAAACCACATGAACCCGGACAAGGATCTACACATTTTTCATTTTGACATGCAAGATTACCAGGGCATTCCGCGTTGATAGAACATTCTGGTCTACAGTTTGGTGCAATACCTATATAATTTGGTAAGCATGAACATGCAGGCGCTTCTCCAACTACTTTACATTGCGAATATGGACCACATGGTGAAGGTACACATGGATTTCCTTTAGGCCCCATAGAAATAGGTTCTAAGAAAGAAAACATGATAGATTAGAAAAAAGAAACATTTGAAACTGAAACAGATAAGAAAATTTGGTTTGAAACTATAAAGATAAAAGAAAGAAATTCGTAGAAAAAGAATCATAAATAAAACTTTTAAGTGGCATATATTTTTATTTGTATCCTCGTTGATTTTCTTATTAATAATATTCTTACTTTGTTCTAAGTGGCATGTAACGAATGGATCACCAGTAAATCCTGTTTTACACGTGCAAATTGGATTGTGATTTATTGTTTGACACCGAGCATTTACTCCACATGTTCCTGGACATGGGTCATTACATTTTTGCCGAATGCAAGCTAGATGTTGAGGGCAATCCGTACTGATAACACATTCTGGTCTGCACGCAGGTGGAGATCCAAAGAATCCTTCTTGGCACGAACAAACTCCGTGATCATTTACTATTTTGCATGTACTATACGGACCACAAGGAGATGGTAAACATGGGTTGATATTTTGAACTGGTGCTATAAAAAATATATAATTACTTTTTGCATTAGTCAGTTGAAAAAAATAAAACATCAATAGATAGTACAATGAATTTCTTACGTTTTCTTTCAGGGTGGCAAGAAATTACAGGATTTCCTTCATAGCCTTCAGCACATAAACAAACTGGGGTGTGATGTGTAACTGAGCAATGGGTATTTAAACCACAGGCTCCTTGACACGGGTCCACACATTTGTTGTTAGAACAAGCTCTATTTGATGGACAGTCATTGTTCGTTACGCATTCTGGACGGCAACCGAGATATGGGTCTCCAAAGTACCCTGGCTGACAAGTGCAAGCTCCAGCATGTGATCTTTCGGTACATAAAGCATTAGGTCCACACGGAGAAGGATTACAGGGATTTGTTTCATCTTCGCTTGGCACATTAACTAAAAATAAATATACAATACGGGTAAGATTTTCTGATTAATTATGTGTAACACTTTTAAAGTTATTGTCTTTATTGCTCACCAATAAATATACATCCTCTAAATGGATCACCAGAATAACTTTCACGACAGTGACATATTGCTTTGTGATTAATCACAACACATTCAGCGTTAGAACCACATGACCCTTCACACGGACTGACACATTTCTCTCTAACACAAGCCAGATTACTAGGACATTCCTCGTCATAAATACATTCCGGACGACAGTTAGGTGCTCGGCCAATATAGCCAGGTTGACAAGAACAAGCAGGTGTTTCACCTATAATACGGCATTGGGAATTCGGTCCGCATGGTGAAGGTATGCAAGGATTTCCAGATGGTTTAGGTTCTGGTCCTGAAAATATATTAATTGTGAAAAAAGACAGCATTATTTTATTATTTTTATTAAAGAGAAGTTAATTCAACTTACTTTGCTCCTCAAAAGTACATTGAACAAATGGATCTCCGATATAATTTAGTGGACAACTACACAGTGCGTTATGATTAACAACAGTGCACTTTGCATTATTTCCACATGATCCTATACATGGATCAACACATTTTTGATTTACACAAGCTCTGTTTGGCATGCATTCGCTACTAACCATACATTCAGGGCGGCAAAAAGGTGGTGACCCATAATACTGTTCTTGGCATGAGCATATTGCATGATTTTCGCTGATTCGACAGATACTGTATGGACCACAAGGTGAAGGTAAACATGGGTCAGTTGGACTTTCAATGTGCCCTAAAATATAAATGACTTATTACAATGTATATGTTTACTCATTTTAAAATATTCAATTGCAAATAATACTGTAAAACGTACTTATGTAACATGATGTGAAAGGGTTTCCTTCATATCCTGGAAGACAAGCGCACGAGGGGGCATGATTATGGACCCGACATTCAGCATTCATGCCACACACTCCAGGACACGGATCTCTACATTTATTATTCGTACAAGCCTTATCTTTGGGACAGTCAGAGTTTAATACACATTCAGGTCTACATTCGACGTAAGGGTCTCCGTAATAGTCAGGAAGACAAGAGCATGATCCTATACCATGTCTTTCTTTACATATAGCATTGGCTCCACAGGGCGAACGTGCACAAGGACTAACTGGTTGTGATTCAATAACTAAAAAAGAAATGGCAGTTATGAGACTACAATTTATAAGTGTAAAGCAATTCTCGGTTTGACTACTCACTAGGAACTGCTGAGCATCCTGAAAATGGATCACCGGTGTAACCATTTTCACATACACATATCGGTATATGTTTCACGACGCTACATGTAGTATGAAGTCCGCAAGAACCCGGACAAGGATCTCTGCATTTTTCAGATAAACAAGCTAAATTTCCAGGGCATTCAACATCTATTACACATTCCGGTCTACAATTCGGAGGTCGCCCCACGTAATTGTTTAGGCATGAACAAACTGGAACTCCATTAATTTCATTGCACTGTGAATTGGGTCCACATGGACTTGGAATGCAAGGATTAATGGGTGACAGTGGCCCTGTTAAAAACATTGTAAAATTAGCCATGAATATTTTTTATTGATTGTTATGATGTTAATAAGAAATAAATGTCTGTCAAACTTACTGTCATCTATATAACATTTCAGGAAGGGATCACCAGTATAACCATTGGTGCAACTGCATATGGGATTATGGTTCACAACTTGACATAGAGCGTTAATACCACACATTCCAGAACAAGGATCCTGACATTTTTGATTTATACAAGCTTTATCAGGTCGACAATCAGAACTGACAATACATTCAGGTCGACAATGTGGAGGAGAACCGACACATTTGTCTAGGCACGTACAAACAGCATGGCCATTAAATATACGACATTTACTGTAAGGTCCACACGGCGATGGTTGACATGGATCAACAGGAACCGGAAGAACTAGACATAATATGAAAGAAAGAAGAGATATAAGTACAGTAGAAAATAGTAAAAGAGAACAATATAGAATAGTATAGAGAGAAAGTCTTACTTAGAACAGGAGTACATGCATGAAGAGGGTTTCCATTAAATCCTGGTAAGCAAGAGCATGACGGTGCATGGTTCGTAACTCTACACTCCGCATTTTGTCCACAGGTGCCAGAACATGGATTCACACACTTGTTATTGAAACAAGATTTATCTGTAGAGCAATCGGTGTTCATAACACATTCTGGACGACACCCTAAATATGGATCTCCATAGAAATCATCAAGGCAAGTACACGAACCAGCACCATGTCTTTCACGACAAATGGCATTAGGTCCACATGGTGATGGATTGCAAGGATGACGTGGAACTTCTTTTGGAGCTGAAAATGACATTATACAGGTCATGCTTTTTCTAACTCAACATGCAGTGCATGTGTATAATACATTTCTAGACATGCAAAAGCACATTATAATTAAGGAATAAAAAATTATATTTGATTACTTACATTCATATGGAGTGCAACCAGCGAACGGATCTCCTGAATAGCCTTCGTTACATGTGCAGATTGGCTGATGGTTTTGAATTACACAGTTAGCGTTAAATCCGCAAGATCCAACGCAAGGATTAACACAGGATCCAGCCATACATGCAAGCGCAAGGGGACAATCTTGATTGATCACACATTGGCGGCGGCATGTTGGTGGAGCTCCCAACATCCCCGGTTCACACGCGCATACTGGTTCGCCGTTGGCATTGCGGCAAGTGGAGTATGGTCCACAAGGAGATGGAAGACATGGGTCCGGGGCCGGATACATAATACCTGTTGACAAATAGGCAGTTTAGTGAAAACAAATTTTGTTTATAGTTTTATATTCATTAGATGATTTGATAGAAATCTATATGAAAAAGCTAGGAATAAAATTAGTTTTATGAATAATTTAATAATGGAAATATCTGCCTGTAAATGTATTACAAAGACGCAGTAATCACCAGTTTAAGAAGGTACTGCTATAGTTCTATAATTTTTATCTGTATTAACACAAATCTTATAACAATTTACTGACGCACGTATTGCATTTAATCTCCCGTCAAAATGACTTTATTGTACTTTTTATACTCATTGATTTAGATAGGAAATAAACAATTTTAGGTTAGCTTACCTTTTGAAGAGCATTTTATAAACGGATCTCCATCAGGTAAGTTTTCTGGGCAAGTACAAATTGGGTTGTGACCGACAACGTGGCATCTGGCATCTAGACCACAACTATGTATACATGGATCTTTACATTTCAAATTGATACAGGCTTTGTTCGATGGGCAATCTGAATTTACAGCGCATTCAGGACGGCAAGCAGGTGGAGCTCCTAGGAAACCAGGTCGACAGACACATGCAGCTCGTTCGTTTACAACGTGGCACTCACTGTTAGGTCCACACGGTGATGGTTCACAAGGATTAAATATTGATGCTAAAAAGTTATTTCACATTGAATTGTTGGATCTAGTCACGTAATAGTTAAAATAATATATTATTAAAAAAAGAAATTAACTTTCGGGACAGTTTTTCTATTTCAATTGCTGTTAGGTCTAACCAGCAGGTTTTAATTCATCAAACTACTTAATACTATATAACTGAAGAGCTTGTTATTTTTTTTGGTTAAATGCTTTAATACCTGGAATTGGTAGTTCGAATTACAAAAGAGAACCTCAAAAATTGGAAACAATCATCAAAAACAAAAAAACAACGCTGCATTTGTATTTTTTATTCATCATTTACAATTTTTTTGGGGTTCTTTGATTATTTTTAAGTATGGTTCTGTTGGATAGTCTATTTATCAAGGAAGGTTATAGGCTATATAACATCATACGCTAGTGGGAGAAAAAAATCAATGAAATATTTGTCAAAAAAAGGAAAATATATTCATAAAATTACGCAAAAATCATAATCCTCATAGAAAAGTTATATATGGTGACTTGCTTTAACCGTTTTCCTTAAATTAAAATAGATTTAAAACTATATTTTGAGAAAGATTCGTACAGACAGAAATTAAAAAAAAAACTCAACTGACAGCTCTACTCGATTACTGGTAGACTCGACTGTAGTTGAATGTTAACGCAAGTGGTTAGCGCGTTCGGTCTGCGATTGTAGAAGTTATGTAATTTAATTATGCAATGACTGGTCTTCAGGTGGGTAACCACAATTCATTATCTCGTGCGCCTCCATGCTTCGGAAGGCAAGTTAACCCATTGGTCCCAGCTGTATCTGCAGTCGTTAGCACCCACCAATCTGTATCGGACATAATCTCCCTATACCGTCCACATTCTGATGATTTTTGATCGAGCAGACAATGTCCAGACAGTGTCCGGTCTGTTGTTAAATAAATTATTGAATATGACGCAATGCACTCTCTTAGGGAGTAGTGCTCACGATTGTAATAGGTTGGGGAACACTCCTGGTATCATCTATAAGCTATAGTAGTTGCTTACCATCAGGATCAATGACTTCAGACAACCGTAAAATATAAGAACGGATCGACGAAATATTTCAGTTAACAATACTCACGTGTTTTATATATTTCGCGGCACGAAGAGAACGGATTGCCCTCATATCCTTTGAAGCAAGTACAAACAGGAACGTGATTGGTGACAGTACACTCTGCATTCACGCCACATAAATCTTTACAAGGATCTCGACAGTGGTTCGCTAAACATGCAAGATGATTGGGGCAGTCAGAATTTATACTGCATTCTGGTCTACATCCACCCGCATATGGGTTTCCTATATTGGGTGGAATGCATGTACAACGTGCCATATTATTAGTTACCGTGCAGATGGTATTTTCTCCGCAAGGTGAGGGATTGCATGGACTAGATGATTCTGTTTTCGATATAACACAACCAATAAAAGCATCACCTTTATATCCTTCTAAACAGCTACAAAGTGGTGTATGATTCACTACATTGCAAACAGCATTATTACCACAAGCACCCAAACATGGATCCACACACTTTTCGTTGATACAAGCTTGATGTGAAGGACATTCTTGGCTTATCACGCACTCCGGTCTACAGGATGGGGGTGTTCCAGAATAGTTGGGACGACATGAGCATACTGGCCTGTCTGATTTCACTTCACATACTGAATTCGGTCCACATGGGGACGGGACACATGGATTTTTTTCTATTGGTATATTGCTAATAATTACATCAGTGCATGCCACAAAAGGATCGCCGGTTTGACCAGGTCCACAGCTACACACTGGATTATGATTAATTACGACACATTCTGCATTGACACCACAACTTCCTTGACAGGGATTAGAGCATCTTTGATTAACGCATGTCTCTGTTTGTTGACAGTCAGAGTTACTGACACATTCTGGTTGGCACATGGGTGCAATGCCCCTATGACCTGGTAAACACGAACAAACAGCGAAACCAGATGGTGACACAAGACATCGACTATAAGGGCCACATGGGGACGGATCACATGTTGTCAGTATAGGCGGGGCTACTGGTGTAATTTGACATCTTAGGTATGGATCTCCAGTAGAACCGGGCTTACAGTAACATACAGCATGATGATTGACTGTTTCGCAAAGTGCTCCAATTCCACAAACATTTTGACAAGGGTCTTCACATTTATTATTTATACACGCCAAGTTAAGAGGGCAATCACTGTTGACAACACATTCTGGTCGACATGACAGATAAGGATTACCGAAGAAGTTTGGCAGACATTGACATGTCAGAGCACCATTTAATTCTTTACATATTGCATTATCGCCACAGCGGACACTATCACAATGTTCTCTTTCAATAGCTGCAAAGTAAACAAAATGTATATAACTTCAATCCGATTTTGATAATTAATATAAGAGGAAGTTAAGATATTTATGGTACTCACGTCTTGTGCTTGGTTTGCAAAGTTCATATGGATTTCCTTCAAACCCATTTCTGCATAAGCAAATAGGATCATGATAGTGGACCATACAATCAGTATTTACACCACAGGAACCCGGACAGGGGTCAACACATTTGTTGCCTAAACAGGCTTTATTAAATGCGCAGTCAGAGCTTAGTACGCATTCAGGTCTGCAACTGGGATTACTTATAGCATTAGGGCCAACACAAGGATCACAAATTGCAAATTGATTTCCGTATGTATCACATGACAATTTTGGATCACATGGATTTGATGAACATGGTTGAACAGTATTGTTATCTGGTATGATGATAATAGCTGAAAGAAAAGGAGTGAGCTCATTAACAATTCCTTTTAAAACAAAATAATTTTAGTTAACTTAATCCTATACTTACGTCGATATATGCATTGTGTCATTGGGTCTCCAATATAACCTTCTGGGCATATACATGATACTGTATGTTCTAAGCACATGCAAATAGCGTTTATTCCACATACACTTTTAAAGCTACACGGATCCTTACATTTATTGGTGATGCAAGCCTCGTTTGAACCACAATCGGAATTCATTACGCATTCTCGTTTACATTCAATTTTAGGATTGCCGTAAAAATCAGGAAGGCATGAGCATAAAGCTGTGTCGCCTACAGCATGACAAATTGCATTAATACCGCATTGGACTTTGTTGCAGGGTCCTATTGATTTCTGATCTTCAGGAGGCAAACAACATATCCATGGATTTCCTATAAGACCTGCCTCGCATTCGCAGACAGGTCGATGGTTTTCTATAGAACATCTGGCATTCAAGCCACAAGCTCCAGGACATGGGTCGCGACATGTGTAGCCAATGCATGCTTTATTTGAACTGCACTCATTGTCAAAGTTACATTCATGTGAATGACAACCTTGAACTCCATAGGGATCCCCGGATGTAGCTTCAGCGCAGGTGCACACCGCTAGCCCATCTTTTTCACTACAAATAGATTGTGGTCCACAAGGATCTGGAATACATGGACTTTTTTGTGGCCGACATCCTGTATAAGGGTTACCTACAAATCCTGTTTTACAGAAACACATTTCTGTATTACTGCTAACATAACAATCTGCGTTAACACCACATGGTCCTGGCTGACATAACACTGCTGGAGGTAAATATCCACGATTACAGGATACATAAGGGTTTCCAACTGAATTGTCTGGACAATAACAAGCAGGATTTCTGTTTGGGTCGCAGCGTGCGCCAACCCCACATGTGTTAGGTTCACAAGGATTACGTGCTTCTATACAACCTCGGACTGTATTTGGACTCTCGATATATCCCTCCAGACATGTACATTTCGCAAACCCATTTGACAATACAGTACATTGTGTATTTGGTCCACATGGTGACGGACTACAGGGGTTGGTTGGTAGTCTACAGAGTTGAGTTGGTGGATTTCCTTCATAATTCGGCAGACAGAAACAGGCTGGCTTATCTTCTATCAGTCGGCACCCAGAAAATGGACCACATGGATTTGGTTCACATTCATTTCCTTCTGGAACTAGAACAAATAATTATCAAATAAAATATCGTGAGGCAGAAATAGAGTAAAAAATTATATATAGTAATATAAGTTATTTACGGGATTGTTACCATGTACCTTGTTTTTAGCGAGTTTCACACTGTCTTCACTCCTGTGCGAAAGGTTTCACAATACCTACGGTCTCCTAAAGACAACTTCCCCTTGGAGAAACCTGGTGTCTATAAGATCGATTGCAGCTGTGGCAGTTTGTACATTGGCCAAACAAAGCGAACAGTATCATGCCGAATGAGGGAACACATAAAAGCAATCAAGAACAACGATACGCAGAAATCAGCCATCGCGGAACATTTGATTGATTCTGTTTCTAACCACTGGATTGAGTTTCATAACCCACAGATTATCTCTACAGAACGCCACTACATACCAAGATTGGTCAGGGAAGCGATTGAAATAACAAAACATAAAAATTTCAATCGTGAGGACGGGTTTAAATTGTCGAGTGTCTGGAATCCTGTGGTTCGTATGTGTAAAACCGGAAATAATCAAAAAAGTGTCGTGTCGCGATCCGATACTGTAAGTGTTGTGTGTCGAGAACAGTTTCGAGTGAATAGTGAGAATGTGAACAATGGTACGGGTATCGAACGCAATAAAAGACTTCGTCGGAGGGTAGACCGATATGTCTGCCAATAACAGCCTACCCGCAAATACTTCAGTTACTCCGTGATCATGGTGCTTGCAACAGTGCCGAAATATCGGAAACTCGCTAAAAACAGGGTACATGGTAACAATCCCGTAAATAACTTATATTACTATAATGTTAGTGACAATGAACGTTTAAAACAATTAAAAAATTATAATAATAATAATAATATTCTTTATTGTAATACACCATACAAGAAAACACAAGTAAATTAAAAAACATGATAGATAGAACGTACACAATATAGGCGGCCTTATTGCTAGGCAGCAATCTCTTCCAGGCAACCCATAATAGAAAGATAAATAAATGTGAAGGAGAAAAGGAGGGGTGTTATAGAAAATAATAATAATATCAATGGCAGGAAAACAGATATATCTAAGGAAGGAAAGAGAGAGGATGAAGGAATTTTTTTACATCACTGTTGGGTTAAGAAATAACTCCGAACTTGATCCCTGAACGAGTTCAGAGTGCGAGCCCTTCGAATAGTTTCTGGCAAAGAGTTCCATAGACGTACAGCATGCACAGAGAAGGAATAGGAAAAGAAATCAGTAGAATGACTTGGAATTTCAAGAGATAGGTTAGAAGAAGATCGCAAAGTGCGCTGTGAAGTAGAAGAGAGAAACGAGAAGCGTTCTTTTAGGTAATGAGGAGAAGTGTTAAAAAATTATATTACAATTATACTCACTGCAATTTACAAATGGGTTTCCTGTTAATCCTTTGGGACAGAAACAAATTGGGTTACCATTATCGACTTCACATAAAGCATGGATTCCACAAGGATTTGGATTACAAGGATTTGTTGGTGGTTCACATCCAAGAGTAGGATTTCCAGTGTATCCTGGTGCGCATTTGCATGATGCTCTATGATTTATCACATCACAAACTGCGTTTACTCCACATCGACATGGTGACCCACATTGGTTGTTAATACAGGCTTCTGAATTAGCACATTCGTTATCTGTACGGCAACCTTGTACTACAAAAAATACACATTTCAGTAGGTAAGTCTTTTTGTACAACAAACAAATGATAAATTAACACAACTATTCATTTTGTCCATATAATACGTATTTTGAAGTGAAATCTTCCTTAGCGGCGTTGTACACTTTTTTTTAATGGGTAAAAAATGTCAAACTCGCGTGAGGACACGAGGCCTGATAGAAATTTCGTAAGACGAAAACAATAAAATTGGAAAGGTTGTTGACTTTCAATATATTGGACGATACATAATAATATTAAAATAATAAGTCTCTAACTAGGACATCCAGGTGGCAGCTTTATTGCGAAGAAAATGCATTTTTTTACAAAAGATGTCGCTAGGTGCGCTTAAATCTGATTCATGTAAGTTGATTTTTCTGAGAAATAAACTTTTTAATATAATATAAATTATCATGTTTGTATACGATAGCGCAATAAATAAATATTGTATTCTACCACATAAATGATAGTACTTTTATACTGATAATTAAAGCAATTCGTGCAAAATTATTCCTTAACCATTCCAAAATATAAAAAAATGCACAACGTTAATATTCAAGTTTTCACTTCTTCTGGCACTACCGGAGTGCAACCCGTCGTTTTTTTTATAAGTTAAATTGTTTTTATTATACCTTGGTAACACTCAAGGAAAGGATTTCCCGTATATCCAGCATAACATTCGCATTGGATACCATGATTTGATGGTATACATTCAGCATTATCACCACATTTATTAGCAGTACATGGACTAATACAAACTCTGTTTAATCTGTCACAAAGAAGTTCTGGTGGACAATCTTCATTGTATTGACACGGAGATTTATGTTCAATTACTAAAACAAAATAATAATTAGACATCACATTGTTTTTTTTATTTAATTATCATCCTTTTATATGACATCCTTACCTGGCGTGCATCCGACGTATCCATTGCCTTGATAACCTTCTGCGCAGCTACAGTCTGAACCGTGGTTTGTGTTTATACATACTGCATTTTGTGCGCAAGGATTGTGTATGGCACATGGGTGCTGACATGCATTATTTATACAAGCTTCAGTCAGTTGACAATCTTCATTCCGAGAGCAACCAACTGAACAAAATTTAACGTATGGGTAAATACACTATAAACATTTAAATAATATCTACGTATTTCGCTATATTTTTTTTGTTTCATATTTACACAACAATCAAATCCACATCCATTAATATTAATGAATTAATTGAATGAATAATTCGGTTACAAATATTATTTGGGTAAAATGTTGTTTTTAATTAATTGACGAATATCATACCCTAGGAAATTCACGTAGAAGTAAAGTGGCCGTGTTTAATTAATAATATATATCATTTTTATAATTGATAAAGAACAAAACCACGAAGATTAGGAAGTCCAGATACGATTTTTTTTCTTAAACGATATTCTCACCGCAAGTGAAACTTCTGCCGATAAAGATGTAGATAGCTCACAGTTTACGTGAATTTGCGCAGGTAAAGTTAATATTAGTACTGGCTTACTTTTTTTAGGTGAACATTTTACAGCAGGATCTCCATCGTGCCCAGCGGGACATGAACACATCGGCCTTTGCAGTACGGGTTGACAATTAGCTCCGGTGCCACAAACATTAAATTCACAAGGATTTTGACATAATCCCATAAAGCAGGCTTCAGTTTCTATACAGTCCCGATCAGATTGACAAGGTTCTGGTGTCTTAGGTGTTCCGGGTGATTCTATGTTAATGTTATTTTAATTTTATTAGTACGTTACAATTAAAGTTAAAGCGGTGTATTTACATTAAAACATTATTTTACAATATTTGAAAACATTTGTCCGATAAAACTGCCACTTGTTGAAATAATTTACAGAAACAACTATTGCAGAAAATAGCAACATTTTTTTTATTGCGGTATGCAAAATAGTATTTGCAACATTAATATTCTCAAATGCATACCTCGTGTACAGAAGTTCCCAGCTTCCTCATTGCATAAACATACAGCAGCGTGGTTGACTACTTTACAGGCAGTGTTAAGTGTGCAAATACTGGGCACCACCCGACACGGATTCTCGCATACTCCTTTTAAGCAGGCTTTATCCATTGGGCATTGAGAATTCGTTGTGCACTTTCTATTTAAGTCAACGTTAAAACTAACTTCTGTCGATGTCCAGTCAAGAATAGGGGTAGAATCAGTCCAGGCAGAAATGTCAACGTCTTTACTCCGAGATGCCAGGTTTTCAGTAGAAGTACTAATGTTTGGAATTATTGCAGATGAGTTATATTTTAAAATAGAATTATCAGCTTTTGTTATGATTTCATTAGGCGTTGATACTATAATATGGGTTGTAGTACCTATTTTATCATCACCATTTTGTGGAGGGTAAGTACTGCTATAAAATAGAGACTGTGTTGTGATTTTATTAACTGCATTGATGTTATCATTAATGTCAGCTTTAGTTTCTTCAGGGTAAGTACTGTTTTTAAGTATAGAATCTGTAGACATTTCGTCATTTGTATTGTAGTTATAATTTATACTGGTTTTAGTTAAACTTTTAGTAGGCATCGTTTTGATAATACGGGTGGTAGTATATGTTTCAACATAAACATTGTGTTGATTTTGGTGAATACTGCTTTTCAGTAACGACTCTGTTGTGATATCATTGCTTGTATTGTCGTTATAATTTATTTCAGTTATAGATATATTTTCAATAGTATTTGATTCTGTAATATGGGTAGTACTATCTGTTTGAACATCTATATTATGTTGAGGGTAAGTACTAATTGTGAGTTGGGTCTCTGTTGTGATTTCATCACCTGTATTGTTATTATAATTCACATCGGTTTCAGTAAGGTTTTCAGTAGACATCGATTCAATAATACGGGTAGTACTATCTGTTTGAACATTTTTATCTTCGTGAAGAAAAGTACTATTTTTAAGTTTAGACTCAGTAGTGATTTGTTTAACTGTATTATCGTTATAATTTATTTCAGTTTTAGTTATATTTTCAATAGGAGTTGATTCTGTAATATGCATAGCACTATCTGTTTCATTATATACATGTTGTTGAGGGTAGGTTCTGTTTTTGAGTTGGGTCTCTGTTGTGATTTCATCATCTGTATTGTAATTATAATTTACGTCGGTTTCAGTGAAGCTTACGGTAGGCATCGTGTCGATAATACGGATGGTAGTATCTGTTTGAACATCTACATTATGTTGAGGGTAAGTACTGATTTTGAGTTGGGTCTCTGTTGTGATTTCATCACCTGTATTGTAATTATAATTCACATCGGTTTCAGTGAAGCTTTCAGTGGGCCTCAATTCGATAATATGAGTGTTACCACCTGTTGGCATATCTTTATATTCTTGAGGGTTTTTATTACTTTTAAGTAAAGACTCAGTAGTTATTTGTGTAACTGTATTGTCGTTATACTTTATTTCAGTTTTAGATATATTTTCAATAGGAGTTGATTCTGTAATATGAGTAGGACTATCCGTTTCAACATATACATGTTGTTGAGAGTAAGTTCTGTTTTTGTGTTGGGTCACTGTTGTGATTTCATCACTTGTATTGTAATTATAATTTACAGTGGATTTAGTTAAGCTATCAGTAGGCATCGTTTCAATAATATGGGTGGTAGTATCTGTTTGAACATCTACATTATGTTGAGGGTAAGTACTGATTGTGAGTTGGGTCTCTGTTGTGATTTCATCACCTGTATTGTAATTATAATTCACATCGGTTTTAATAAAGCTTTTGGTAGGCATCGTTTCCATAATTCGGGTGGTAGTATCTGTTTGAACATATAAATTTTGTTGATAAATACTGCTTTTCGGTGAAGACTCTGTTGTAATTTCATTGCCTATATTGTCGTTATAATTTATTTCAGTTTTTGTTATTTTTTCAATGTCTGTTGATACTGGGATATGTGTGGTACCATCTGTTTGAACATTTACATTTTGTTGGGTGTAAGTACTGTTTTTAAGTTGAATCTCTGTTGTGATTTTATCACTTGTAGTGTAATTATAATTCACATCGGTTTCAGTGAAGCTTTCAGTAGGCATCGATTCGATAATATGGGTGATGCTTTCTGTTTGAACATCTTTATATTCTTGAGGGTAATTACTACTTTTAAGTAAAGACTCAGTAGTGATTTGTTTAACTGTATTGTCGTTATAATTTATTTCAGTTTTATTTATATTTTCAATAGGAGTTGATTCTGTAATATGAGTAGCACTATCCGTTTCAACATATACATGTTGTTGAGAGTAAGTTCTGTTTTTGTGTTGGGTCACTGTTGTGATTTCATCACTTGTATTGTAATTATAATTTACAGTGGATTTAGTTAAGCTATCAGTAGGCATCGTTTCAATAATATGGGTGGTAGTATCTGTTTGAACATCTACATTATGTTGAGGGTAAGTACTGATTGTGAGTTGGGTCTCTGTTGTGATTTCATCACCTGTATTGTAATTATAATTCACATCGGTTTTAATAAAGCCTTTGGTAGGCATCGTTTCCATAATTCGGGTGGTAGTATCTGTTTGAATATATAAATTTTGTTGATAAATACTGCTTTTCGGTGAAGACTCTGTTGTAATTTCATTGCCTATATTGTCGTTATAATTTATTTCAGTTTTAGTTATTTTTTCAATATCTGTTAATACTGGAATATGTGTGGTACCATCTGTTTGAACATTTACATTTTGTTGGGTGTAAGTACTGTTTTTAAGTTGAATCTCTGTTGTGATTTTATCACTTGTAGTGTAATTATAATTCACATCGGTTTCAGTGAAGCTTTCAGTAGGCATCGATTCGATAATATGGGTGATGCTTTCTGTTTGAACATCTTTATATTCTTGAGGGTAATTACTACTTTTAAGTAAAGACTCAGTAGTGATTTGTTTAACTGTATTGTCGTTATAATTTATTTCAGTTTTAGTTATATTTTCAATAGGAGTTGATTCTGTAATATGCATAGCACTATCTGTTTCATTATATACATGTTGTTGAGGGTAGGTTCTGTTTTTGAGTTGGGTCTCTGTTGTGATTTCATCATCTGTATTGTAATTATAATTTACGTCGGTTTCAGTGAAGCTTACGGTAGGCATCGTGTCGATAATACGGATGGTAGTATCTGTTTGAACATCTACATTATGTTGAGGGTAAGTACTGATTGTGAATTGGGTCTCTGTTGTGATTTCACCACCTGTATTGTAATTATAATTTATATCGGTTTCAGTATCGCTTTTGGTAGGCATTGTTTCCATTATACGAGCGGTAGTATCTGTTGGAACATATATATTTTGTTGATAAGTACTGCTTTTCGGTGAAGACTCTGTTGTTATTTCATTACCTATATTGTCCTTATAATTCATTTCAATTTTAGTTATTTTTTCAATATCTGTTGATGATGGAATATGGGTGGTACTATCTGTTTGAACATTTACATTTTGTTGGGTGTAAGTACTGTTTTTAGGTTGGTTCTCTGTTGTGATTATATCACCTATAGTGTACTTATAATTCACGTCGGTTTCAGTAAAGCTTTCAGTAGGTATCGTTTCGATGATACTGGTGGTACTATCTGTTTGAACATCAAAATTTTGTTGAGGGTATGTAGTGTTTTTAATTTGTTTATCTGTTGTAATATTATTAGCAGTAGAGTAATTATGATTGGTATTGGTTTCAGTGAAGCTTTGAGTAGGCATCGATTCGATAATACGGGTGGTACTATCTGTTTGAATATCTTTATGTTCTTGAGGGTAAACACTGCTTCTAAGTGGAGATACAGTAGTGATTTGTTGAAATTTATTGTCGTTATAATTAATTTCTGTTTTTGTTATATTTTCGATAGGAGTTGATGCAGTAATATGTGTGTGTCTATCTCTTTGAACATCTACATTTTGTTGAGGGTAAGTAATGTTTTTGAGTTGGGTCCCTGTTGTGATTTCTTCACCCGTATTGTAATTATAATTTACATCAGATTTAGTGAAGCTTTCAATGGGCATCGAATCAATAAAACGGGTGCTACTATCTGGTTGATTAACTTTATTTTCTTGAGGGTAAGTACTGTTTTTAAGAAGAAATTTTGTAGTGATTTCTTCGTTAATGTTAGAATTCATATCAATTAAAGGTGAAGGTTCAGTTTGCATTGATTCGACATATTGACTAGTAGTACTGGATTGGACCTCGCCATATCGTTCACGGTCAGAACTTAATTCCGTTGTTATTGTGTTATCCCTATTGTCATCATAATTCATATCCATAATAGTTACTATTTCAACAGGTCTTGATTCGATAATGCGGGTAAGCCCTGATTCATTATCTTCATTTCTTTGCTGGTAAGTGCTGCTTTTAATTGCTGAATCTGTTGTCGTTATATCGTTTATAATGTGGTCAATATTTCTATCTCTTTCAATTGTGATACTAGTAAGTGTCGATTTTTTAATATAGCTAGTAGTACTCGTTTCAATATTTTCATTTTGTAGATAATAAATACTACTGGATTTGAGAGATTGAGTTGTGATTTCACTGTCCGTCTTTTGTAAGGTATGTCTTTCTGTTTTATCTGAAAAAGGAATATCAGAGGTTTTTGATTTTATAAATTCGTTTTCGTTGTTTTTGAAATCCATGCTCAGAATCTCTGTAGTATCCTGAACATGTTGTTCGTAATTTGGAACGAGTTTATGGTTTGCTGTGTTGACTAGTGTTGTTTTGTCATCCTTCATTAAGTGCTGTTCCTCCGTTGCTAGATCTTTATGTAAACTGTTAGGCGTTGTAATTATTGCTTTATTTTCTTCAGAAGTTTCTAATTTGACTTCAGTGAAATCGTTACTTACCTCAGATATTGTAGTATCTGTTATCTTTAAATCACGATGAACAAAAATAGGGTTTGATGCAGTAGTAGGTCTCAAGAAATCTATTTTAGAAGTAGAACTTTCTACTTCAGTGGCAAGCGATTCTTGTACATTTACCGATTTTGTAGCGTGCATATTAAACGCAGTTGCTTCCGTATTATTCATCATAATATCAGATGTAGTCCTTATGGCGTCCATTGTAGTTGTCTGCTTTTCTTGTAAATTTGATGATACATATGTGTTACTAGTAGATTGATCATCTTTCAGAATACCGCTGTAAGATGTTGCTTCTGGTACTGTATCAATGCTTAGAGGTCTTGTAGTATCTTCAGTTATAGCGTTTTCTTGATAGTCTGTAAAGTTGTCTTTGGTATATGGACCAGTACTTTGATCATAATTATAAGTTTTAATTGTATTTGTTTTGTTTTTCCTATTTTCAACGGAATCATTTTTAGATTTGAAATCGGCAAATTCATATTGTTCTGTTTTCTGATCGATTTGTATTGTTGAAGATTCATATCCAGTAACTGAATATTCTGGAGAGTTTTCAGTTGTATTGTCAAAATTTAATGTTTCCACTGGTCCTACTTCTGTATTTGAGATGATTGAATAAAAGTTGTACTCTGGTGTACTATAATAATTTTTAGTACTATTAATGCTGATTGACTTTTCTGTACTATTTTTGGTGCTGTTGTTGTTAACTTTTGATATATCTGTATTACTGATAGAATTCGGTAGCATAGTGTGCGCATTTTGTGCAGGACTTATAAAATCCACATCAGGGCCTGTATTTTCAAAAGCAATGCCATTATTTGTATGAGACTTTAGGGAATATTCAGTATCAGTCGACCTGCTTGTGATTTCAAAATAATAGTTTTCTGTTGCCATATTCTTAGTGGATTTGTCTTCATTTATACCTGTCGATGATGTCACTTTTGCATAAGAGTCTGTAAAAGTTGTCTTATCTGGCTCATTATAACTAGTAGATACTACTTGTGCTTGTGTTATAGCATCCTCAGAATAGGCTATATTTTGTTTTGGTGTAGCTGTTAAAATTACATCAAAAGTATTTTCTTGTATATCATTTGTTTCATTATCAGAAGTTGTAAACTGAGATATAGAATTTGTTGTTTCTTCGGTGTAGATATAATTTGTTGTCTTTACATTAAATATTGTAGACTGTATATCTGAAATATCTGTATTTGAAGTCCCTTTGATAGTTGTTTCTTCATTAGTTGCTAATGTAGATAATATACTACTTGCTTCGGTGGTTTCGGGATCGGATCCTTTCTCTATTTTATGTGTGACGACTATTTCTGTAAATTCTTGGCTTAAAATGGGACTAAGAGTGGTATCAACGATTTTTTTTTCTTGATCGGAGGGGCCAAAATTGTTTACTACTCTGTTTGCACTTTGAGTAGCTGTTGTATGCGCAAATTCGGTTTTTAAACTAAAAGTGTTGCTGCTTTCGGTCTGTGTGGTATCATAATACTCAGGTAGTGTCTGTGTAGTTGGCAGTAATAATGAAGGGTTTTCGCTAACTTTTTTATCAGGCAATATTTTTAACTCAGTTGTAGTTTCAACATAGTTTTTAGTAGTGATATCGTTTTCACCATTATCTAAGAATGTTATTGAATTTTCTGCGTAATCAGTATCAGAACCGTAACTTTTATCAGGTTCAACAGTTAAATTCGTATTACGACTGTCACTTTTTATAATTGGTTTGGATGTTACTGTAGTGTTATCTTTTGTATTTGAATATAAACTAATATTGGTAAAATTATTCAACTGTCGTTGATTTTCAGGAGTTTTCGTATTTTTATTTTCATTCATGAGCAAAGTTTCGTTTATCTCCGGACGTTTAGTAATATATGGTTTAATAGTACTTTCTACGTGTAGTGTGCTACTACTATGGACCAATTCTTCTGACTCAAAAGTAGGTTGAATGGAATTACTACCGTATTCATTGAATATTGTAGCTTCTGTAGTGAGTGTAATATTACTATTAGTATTTGATGTCATACCGAAAACATTATTTTTCTCCGTAGTTTGATAAATATCCACAATTGTTGAACTTAGAGTTGATGCACTTACATGTTTATTTAATTCATCTGGATATGAAAAAGTGGTGGTGTCACGAGTTTTAGATTTTCCTGTATGTTCATTCAATATTATAACTTTTGTTGTTATTTCATCTGATAATGTAATGTCCGCCCCGGCTTTAGTCTCCCCATAGCTAACAGTCGTTGTTGGTTCAAAATCTATTTCATTGTATGTTTTTGTTTTACTAAGGGACGATGGTGTTACTATGTCTGCTAAAGTCCCAGTCATGTCAAAGTCATTAGTAATTATTAAGGTAGAAGTCTCAAATTTATTTGTCATTGTATTGAATGAAGGTTCGGTTTCCTTTGTGGTTGTAGTAAAATCGAAGTATTTTTCAGTTAGTGGGACAGTTTTAGGACGATCATCTGTTAATAGGAATGGAATAAAAACGTTAATCAAAAGATCGCTATTTTAAATAATGAAATTGTCATCAATTAAGATAGATGAAACAGTATATATAAGATATACAAAATATGTAGATAAAATATATTGATATATCATGCTTAAAATGGAACTAAATAGTAAACACCTACCAAATAAAAGGATAGTAAAGGAAACAACCATGAATTCCTAAATGATATTTATGAAATGTGTATGAAAAGTAACAATGAAGCTTACGCATTTAGATTTTTTAGAAGGTATCACAAAAGGAAGCCTTTTATTTGAAAAATCATTCTCTTGATAAATGTAAAAAATAGTGCTAGGTTCCTCTTTTTAATGATATTTGATTCTAAATCTAAATACGTAAGAGAGGTTGAAGATGAAGAAAATAAAACATGTGAATAGATAGGTACTACAACTATTTCTACATCTCATAAGTTGCATTAAACTACGCTGAAAAGTGTCAAGAAGAAGAGATAATAAAAAAATAATAACTTGCCTGTCGGGTCTGCCGAGACATCATGTGCCAGTACTAGGTGGCGTTTTATCGGACAAATGTTATAACAAAATTATAGCAACAACCAGTTCATCTGGAGTTAGTGATAATAGTAGCCGTAGACTTTCCAGTATTATAGTAGAAGTCCACGATAATTTAATTATATGAAAATGGTATATATGAATACATAGTAATTAGGTTCTGTATAGGGATGTATATTCACAATCTATACAGTTAGCGGATTCACAAAAGGTAACATATTATTATAATTATCCAGCGTTAAATTAAGTAAGAGATTAATAGTTTAACATTTACACCTTTTGAGAAATAGTTTTATAATACTTACTTTCCATGCAAGCACCGGAGAACGGATCACAAGGAACGCCGGGTCGGCAATGAGCACAGTTTGCGACCAGTTGGCCACCTGAAATAATAAAAGAATTGTAAAATCTTCTAATTTATATAGGTAATAATAATTGCTGTTCTGTTATTCTTAGTAAATAAGTTTTTAAATTCCAGTAAAAATAAAATATGATAATAATGCATCATTTTAATGCCATCAATAAAGTATAACAAAAACATTTTCATAGATGAACTACATACAAAACAAATTGTTAACAATATCGTCTTTCAATATATATTTTAAATTTACCTGGTTTGCAGGCACACCCATCGCAGTAAGTATTGGGATATCGGGCACAATCTGCAGCTGATTGACATTGGCACACTAGATTTTAAAACAATAGTCTTAGTAATGAATTGCAACTACACTCGTAATAGAGAATGTGTACTATAATTTTCATTATTTTCATAATTCCACGAAGTATCAAAAATAAGAGGATATTACTAGTACAGTAATATCTATATAGCGAAAATGGATCCTATATATGTATATAACATTAGTCGATCTTTATAACTTGGTTCTGTGTTCTGTGGTATTAGTCTAATCGGTTAATTTAAATACTTTATCAAAACGTTACATGTAAACTGTCAAAAATTCTTAACCCAACCAAAACTAATGGCGTTGTTATTTGGGAACGCGAACTAATACGGTAACTTCAAACAATTTACGTAGTTGAACTCAAAACCCACAGAATACAAAACAAAAGGTAAACCAACCCGCAAAATATCATAAAGCTATGAATGAACTTCCGGACATATCAGTCGGCCCATTTAGTGTTATGAGTTTCAACGTCTGTAGCAAAAATTTGTGTCTATGTTTTATTTATGTAAATATGGTTAATAAATCAGCTTCAAAACTGCGTAAGCAATAACTTTTTGGTCAAAGTAACATTTATTATTAGCTAGAGACTGTAAAAACGTAAAATGCGAGGTGGCACGGTAGATATGTCTGGAAGGGTATAATAAAGTGACGGTTTTAGATATTTCAAAAATGAAAGGCATGGAAACTTTAAATTTTCTTTTTTTAGTTGGTCTAGTTATGAACATATTTTACGCTACGCTTAACTCCATAAAGCTCTGACAACTGATTTATTGTAGATACACAACACTTTCATAGTGTAATTTAGCTTGTATGTAGCACTAGCGGCCCGTCCTCGCTTCGCTTCGGTGTAGAGCTGAAGTGTAGACTACAGTTTTTGTTCTCAGGCTCGTATTATACACAATGACATTTATCTATGATTCTTCTATACCTACATACCAAATTTCAGCCCGATCCGTCCATTGGTTTGGGCTGTGCGTTGATAGATCACTATGTCAGTCAGTCACCTTTGAGTTTTATATATAGAGATTATGCACTATCCTAGGTGTATGCTATTTTCAATCATAAGGAAAGATTTTGAGCTTTACTCCATTTAGAAGAATTCTCACCTTTAGAGCAAACTGGCTGATGGCTGATAACTGCGCAGTGCTGACCAGGTGTACATGGTCCACCCCGTGCGCATGGGTCTGCACAGCGACCTTCCATGCACGCCAATCCCACCGCGCACTGCTCATGAGCCTCGCATCCCTCCGCTGCATAATCATGCACACAAGTTAAATAATAAATAAAGCAACCTTGACCTACCTCTTTTTAATTTTCTTATGAAAAAAAGGATATAGCAATATGAAATATTTGCATACAATTTGTTTCCATGGATTGAAAAATAAAATAGTAACTTGCAAACTAGCTGTACATTAAAACAACACTGTGTCCCAATGCAAATCAATATAATTTTACTGAAAATAAACATTTACTCTTCTACAACCGATGGCAAGTACCTATGTGTGAAGACTTTGCGAAAATAATTAATGTGGTATAAAAATATCCTACTCATAGGTAGCTAACTACCTTGCCACTTTCCCCTATCATGTGGAACTCTTCCAAACATACTGCAGGAACACGAGACTATAGAATAATGTTACTCGTTTTTGGCTGTATAATGAAAAACGAAGTTTATTTGCCCAGGTAGTCACTTTAAATTCCAGAGAGGTAGCCCTCTTTGTTTTATCTTACCTATTCTATTATGGGCATGATTTACTACATCATGTAATATCTATATTACTTCCACATACATCCAAAGAATTATATAAATATACATAGGTATAAGGAATTAATTCTACTGCATCACAAAAGAAAATAATTAGATCACAAAAAATCACACGAAATTAGATCATCAAACATTGTAGTCAGTAAGCATTCTATGCATTCATTTGCAACTCTGTCTCGTGGCAGTTTTCTTGCATTTCAAATTAGTGCTGATGCTTTATAAGCGTTAGTATAGGTAAGTATAGGCCACCAACACCCATTATAAAGTAATAATTATATTGAAAATGATACAATGAACGTATTTACATTGTGAATGAAAAATAATACCATGCTTGAAAAACTACCTGCTACAGAAGAGGTTTAAACTGTGGAAAAAGACTGAAAAGAACATGCTAAAAATAAAAAGTAAAAGAACAGCGAAAGAACTGAAATTTGTGAAGTAGGTAAGAACTATCAACATATTTCCTGTAATAAGAAGAACAACAATAAAGATTATTAAGATCTTATAAGTCGCTAAATATACTAGGTGGCACATATTACATATTTGATTCTACTCTCTGTAGAAATTACCTTTAATGCATCCCCGTTTTTCATCGTGTGTGAATCCATTGGGACAAAACTTGCATATTGGGTGGTGGTCTTCTACTGTACATGGAGCACCACCACAAGCACTTTTACAGGGGTCTTTGCATTCGAAATCTATGCAAGCTAAATTATTTGGACACCCTTTATCTCGAAGACATATCGATAACGTTGGCTGACAATCTTCTACACATATACACACAGCGCGATGCTCTTGCACTTCACACTGTTTGCCTTCAGGGCACACTGGTTCTCTAGTTACTAAGCAAGGATTCACACACTTGGAATTACGACATGCTGCATTCGTTGGGCACTGCTCATCTCTAGTACATTCTGCGTGTTCTGGTGCACATGTCAGTTCGCCTCTCTCGTTCAATGCGAATCCATTTCGACATACACACAAAGGTTTATGGTTTCTAACTTCACATTTTTGATTTCGTTTGCAATTTTTATAGCCCAGGCATGGATTACGGCATTGGCTTGTAGCTAAATCGCACGTTAATTTCAATGGACATGGCTTAGTGTCTGAGCATGTGAAAGTGGAGTTCAAGTCGGTGGTTGGTTTGCATGTAGGGTCGAGACGACAGGCGATCCGAGGCTGCCCAACGTAACACTGCGGGCACGAACACTGCGCACGGTGCATGAGGGGAGCGCATAGAGCATCCTCTCCGCACGCGCCGCGCACCGTGCACGGGTCCACGCAGTGCAAACTCAGACACGCTCTGTCTACGGGGCAGTGTTTGTCGCTCGTGCATTCGACACCTAAGAAGATGTGAAAGAAGAAAGCAGAGTCGAAAGAGCGGTACCTTCAGCCGCGAAGAGGAAACTTTCTCACGAGACAGTGCATGCTTTTTGAAACTGATAGTTTATGATCAGATATATGTATACAACGAAATAAAATACAAGCGATATGTACATGAAGCCGAACAAATTGTTACTGACTGTTTGATATACTCAAGCACGAACGGTGAGAATGCTTCCACTAATGTCAACAAATAATGGTAGTATAGGTACAGTTAAGTTACAAATTCGTTTCTATAAGAAACATATTTGTTCTTTAACAGTTAACACTACCTCAAGTACTTAATAGGGATTTAAAATAATATTTTACAGTATTAAGGATGAGGAATCTTGGGTATTATTCAAACCAACTACAACGACTATTGTGGTAAATCTTAACAACAATTCCTTTTTTAACCCATTATTTTATTTGCTGTTCATGTAATTTTCTTATGTACATCAATATTCAATTTCTTCAAATCATATAATCTTCCCATAATGAAATGAAGTAATGAGTTTAAGGACCAGAGTGCATTTTTACATGGTGTCAAGACAATTATCAGAAGCCCTGACAAATACAAAAACATACTCACTAGTGTGACACTCGATATCTGCTTGTCCTTCCGTACCAGGAATGCAACGACAAACAAATTCACCACCATCTCTTAAGCATTCTCCATTAATCCCACAACCCGTCGTACGGCAGTCAACCACGCTACGTTCTAGAGCACCTATGAAATAGCACACAAATTACAATCACTCCAAACGTCTAAATTGTATTCTTCTAATGAAAAAAGCATATTATTGTGGCGGATATGTGACCGACTGACCACCGTGTGGACAGTCCACCAGAATGGACGTGCTATTGGTGTCTATAATTTATACAGAAAGGTTATATAGCATGTCAATGGCCAATTCTCACATGATTCTCTAAACCTGAAACTAAATTCAACATCAGTCTCTCCTTTTCCTCCTCTATAGAGAATGACAAGGATTACTCTGTCAAATGTAAGTTTAGGTTTAGAGAATCATGCCAGAATCGACACCACTGACATGCTATAAAAACCTTTCTCTAAAAATATAATGATAGTATATTTATAGATATACGTTGTGTTATTGATGAATGATATTATTGTATTTAATATTACTCTTATAAATATTAATGCTAAGTAATTCTGTCTATTACCTATCAGTAATATTACTCTTTTTAAGGCTAACACACAGGCTTGGAATAGATAATCAGTTCCGTTCGTTGAACACTAAAGTAAGCAGTTACTTACATTCTATATTAGGATCTCCGTTAGGATAATTGCGTGGGCAATAGCACTGTGCTTCTCCATTCTTTTCAATGCGACAATGCGCATTTGTTCCACAAGTTTTGTAAGCACACGGCTCCATAGCCCCACAATAACATTGTCTTTGAGGATTACCAGCGCAACCTGGTGGGCAGGTACATTCATAGCTTTCGTCATCAAAATCTCTACATCTAGCGTTTATTCCGCACGGGTTACGTAAACAGCTTCCTGCTGGAGGCTTAGCACATTCAATCTTTGGATTCCCAATATAATTGGGTGGACACGAACATTGGGAATTTCTATTTATTGGTCTGCATATTGCATTTATTCCACATGCACCTGAGCACACATTTTTACATTTTCCGTCGTCATGGCAATTTTCATCAGCGTTGCAGTCTTCGTTTTTAAGACACTCGTATGACTTGCATTCCTTCAAAGGATCGCCAGAAAATCCACTAGGACAGCTGCATACTGCTCTATGTCTAGTTGCTAAGCAATGAGCACTTTTTCCACATGAATCTTCTCGACAAGCAGAGATACAGAGTTTTGATGAACACAGCATATCATCCCCGCAATCTCTATCGCTATTGCATCCCGGTACGCATGTACCCCTGATACATAACTGCCTTTCAGGACACTTATTTCTAGGGGAACATAATAATCTACATCCACCGTTGTAACATTTTTCCCCACAAGAACAATCTCTATTATCTTCACAAAGTGAAATACAATATCCGCTTTCATCACAGGGGCAAAAGCCGTCACACGTAAGGGTTTTTCTTTTACATTCCACGAGTGCATTACCTGTATAATTATTTGAGCAACTACATTGAGCTCGATGGTTTAACACTTTACAATCTGAGCAAATACCGCATATTTTGCCTTCTTTACAAGGATCTGCAACCAAAACAAATTCAATTGTTAATTTACGATACGAGAATGAAATATTTCGCTTAATTGACTTTAAAGCAACTCTGTGATTACCTTTACATTGACCATTTATGCAAGCCTGATCTACGTCACATGCGTTATCGTCACGGCAGCCTTGTTTGCATATTCTATTCTCACAAATATGCCCATCACTGCAGGCGTCATCGCTGTTACATACTACTCTGCATATTCCTCGAATGCATTTTTCGTTAGATAAGCACACAACGTCACTGTAATAAAAAATCATCTAAAGATAAAATTGGTCACCAAAAGGTTAGATTAGGCTACCATTTTTTTGATGATCAATTAAATTTTATTTTGATGATCATTGAAATAGTGACAAAATAATGTATTCACAAAAACCTGAATTTAATCCTAAAAAAAATCCCTGAATTCAAAAACACTAAACAGATTTTCATGCGATTTTGAACACCCGAAGGCGAGGCGGGTGATGGCGGATCACTAATCAATAATATATTATAAATGCAAAAGTCCATAAATCTCTCTGTTAAGTGGTTTAAGCATGAAGAGGTTTTTCACGCTTAAACCGCTGAACCAATTAAGATAAAATTTGGTATAGAGAGAGTTTGAGTCTTGTAGGACATGAATAGCTTTTATTCTATAAATTATCCTTTAAGGGGTTGAAAAGTTTGTATGAAATCCATTTTTTACACGCAGACGAAGTCGCGGTCACCCATTAGTATAATATAAGATTTAAAATTTATTCTTACTTTCTGCAAGATGGGTGACATGAGTCTCCATAACAATTGAAATCTTCAGGGCATTTTTTGTTTTCGTCGCATATTGAAGGCACTCTTCGACAAACTGTTTTTGGATCACCAACTAAACGTTCTGGACATACGCACAAGGGCTGATGATTTTTTGCTGTACATAAAGCA